GCCTCGGGAGGGTCCGAAAAATGTGTGTGGGGGTGTCCCCAGTTTCCTGGGGGTTCCCAAGTGAGACTATATTCAATTAAATGAATTGTAATTTATCTTCACAAAACAAGAGAGGGTAATTTACCAAAAAGAATAAACACAAACCAGGGCAAATCAGCTTTTAATAGGATTTCAGTAAATGATTTTTTAAATTCTCATTCATTATCATTATAGGGTTATGGCATTGTTTTCAAATGATTTTTTAAATTCTCATTCATTATCATTATAGGGTTATGGCATTGTTTTCAAATGATTTTTTAAATTCTCATTCATTATCATTATAGGGTTATGGCATTGTTTTCAAATGATTTTTTAAATTCTCATTCATTATCATTATAGGGTTATGGCATTGTTTTCAGAGTTATCCAGTTTTGTTTGTTATAATATGTCTTCTCTCAAGGCCTAATTCAAAAAGGACTGATTCAAAACATTTGAATTGAAGCGTATGAGTAGCCATGTGTATTTAATAGTAAATGTAACAAAGCTTTGATTTACTGAGACTTTGGAGTTAGGTGTTCTTCTTTCAGAGGGTCCAATGTGGAGAGAGAGCAAGCACAATAATTTGCATAATTAGAACATAGAGAGCAATTTAAGCCAAGATCACAAGGACTGCTAGGAACACTAGTGAGAACATATCACAATTTTCTACTAATGTATAGCATTATTCCTACTTTATCCATAGGAAATTCGAACCATTAAAATGTTAAATAAGTTGCACAGTGTCATACAAAAGTTTCAACAACAGAGCTAGAGGTAAAATGCATTTCTTCTGAAATTCCAGCTTCCGTGTCCAGATGGCATTGCCAGCATTGCCCTCCTGAAGGCTTGCCACTTTGTGATTTTGTTTTATTATACTTAGATCAATTAATCACTCTCAAAGATCCATTACGAAACTTCGGAAGGAAGGACAGCTCTTAATGAGGAAACTATCATAGAGTCAAGATACTTCTCTAGGAAAGTAGAAGATCTGGATCTCTTGATCCTGAATTTAGATCAGATTCTTTTCTACTCCTTATGTTTGCGTCCCCAGCCACTGAAAATCATTGAGCCACTCACACAGGAGGAATTTTCTCTTTCTTCTGTTCTGAGTTTAAGTGTCCTGTCTTAGAGATGTCCTGGCCTGTGACAGTCCCGTTGGGAATCTGGGTGAAAGTTCTCACTTTGTGAGCTGGAGCATGTCCAGAGCAGGCAGAACCTTACAGGAGAATTATCTGGTGAAATCTTAGTCTCCACTGAATAGGTAGTAACTGCAATCTCTCATCCTGATTTTCTCAAGAAACAAAATTTTACAGTGTCTGTCTGGTTTTGGCCCATGTTACCCAATAATTCTTGAAGAAAATGGCTAGGTTGAACCAGATTTGAAGGAGGGGTAGGGGTCTCTGATATTAGGTTCCTACAAGTTTTGTGTGCCAACCAGGTAAGAAGAGATCCTAATGGTGCCTTTACTGGGGAAGGTTCAGTGTTCACTGGAGAATTCATGTGGGAGCACAGACTTAAGAGGAAGGCCTAAGGCAGACAGGTTAGGTGCTCAGGACTTATGATCATTTTGTTTTGCAGTCTTGAGGGATTCTGACATCTAAGTGAATAGTAAGCAGCAAAGTAGAAAAGCCGAGAGTGCAAAGAGGAGAATTCTGGAAGGTGGGGTGCAGAGGGCAGGCAGAGTGGGCAGGAGGAAGACAATGACTGCTTAGTAGAACAAAAGAAGTGGAAAAAGGGTGCCATTCTTCCATCTTTTAAAAGGCTGTATGACATGCAGTTAATGAAACAGATTTAAATTACAGAGAATTTCTTTGTGGCCTGCGAGGGCTGAGAATCAGTCTGTGGTATTTGGTGCTAGGCTTGTATGCATTTCCACTGGTTCTTGGCAGCTTCTGGAGCAGTTGGCAGTGTCTCGTGTTGACTGGTCAGTCATATCGTCTTCCAGTATAGCAAAAGCAGTATAGCTTGTATCCCACCTCCAAGAGTGGATGGGAAGGTATATGAAGGGATGGCAGGAAACAGTGGAGAGGTGGTGGGTGCTAAAGTATCCGTGAGAGAATTGCAGGAATTTGACTTAAATCCTACACTGATTGATGACTTCTGCCAAGAATCAGTTACAGTGATTTTCATTGCTGCTGTTAGTGCTCAGATGCTTTCCCAAATACCTTTACTGAAGAAAAACAAATTAGTCTGTTGTAGTGATGTGTAAATATGGGGCTGACCTCTTTGTTAGGAAGCCTTGAGGGAGTGCATCAATATTACTGAAAGGAGGAAACATCAGCATCGTTGTCTTTAGCGTGTAGCTTGCTCTGTTCATCACTGTGCTGGTAAGCAGTGGCACGCTTATGGTCAAATGTAGTGTGCTCTTCAGCTCTGGCTGTTACCTGTGGCTACCTCTTCAGTTAGAAGATTGATACTACTGTTGCTGAATGACTGAAACAAACAGTGACTGTTCTGTTAGTTCAGAAGAAGGAACGATGCCGGGACAGTGCAGGGACACGTTGCATACTGTCTGCATGTGGTGAAATGCAGTCAGGTTGCTAAAACAAAAACAGTAAATCAGGAGCAAAGGAAGACTCGGAACCCGTCATCTCAGGGCCAGTTTCTGCAGACCTCCTTCGTGTAAGAAATCCCACTGCCGTCAGACCCACTGAATTCCACTGATCAAGTAAAATAAAAGCAACAGGGCTAAATGCGCAGTGTCACACATTTATTTAATTATTATTTTTAAGTGGGGTTCCCATGGATGCAGCAATATAAAAACAGGTGTTGAAACACTGCTACAAGCAGTGTCCACAAAAACCCAACCCCAGCCTAATCCCTGCAGTTACATTTTCCCACAAACAGGAAAGCAAGTCTCAAGGAAAAAGTGCTGCCTGTGATCTTACTTTATACTTCCCAGTATGTGCTTTATTTATAAGGAACAATGTTCTATCAGTTCTGGTTGTGGAATTGGGAAACATTTGTGTCTGAAGTCCTTCCTGACCTCCTCACCTTAAAAGTTCCTTAATAAGTTTTGCATATCCCTGCAGGCCCTTCTCAAATATCCCAAATCTTTCTGTTCCTGTTTTCTCCCTCATCTTGTTGATTATGAACTTCAGGTTGGTCCTTTCCAAAGCTATGCTTCAGTTTCTTAATGGCCAGTCCAGTAGTGACTGGAGGGTCTGTCACTGTCTTTGTTATCCCTTGTCTATTACATCTGTATCCATGTGTTCTGTTTGTGACTTTCTCTGTTACTCTTTGAATGGAAAAGTCCCTTGATCTGCTAATCATAATGAAGCAGGTGCTCAGACATGCCACACACCCTTACAAATGTGGGCAGGGGTAGCCAGTTTCTGCCGAATGGGAATGTTATTGATTTTTCAGCTTGTCTTGGTTTGAGTTGAAATATGACCTGAAAATATAAGTCTCAGGAGAGGGTTTTTAATCTCTTTCCTGGGCAGTTTAGGTAAGTATAAAACATAGTAAATATGTTTTACTATTGATATTTATGTCAGGCTTGGTACATTTACAATGACCTGGCAGTGGATGAGATTTCACAGCGGTGAAACACTGAGATTGTATGCATCTATCTAAATACACTAGCTGGTTCTCTATGTGAATGGCAAAACCATTAATACTTTTAACATTTCTTTTGAAAGGCCAAAGCTGTGCTAAGGGGTTGGCAGCCTGCCTGCTGGAACCTTTTGATCCACCATGCACTTCCTAGCAAACCTTACCAGGTGTCCTTTCAGCTGGTCTATGGCAAGGCTTTGATGTGCTGAGAACATGGTCGCAATGTGGGGCAGCTGTGTCTCCAAAAAAGGAACAGGGAAAGCAGAAGGAAGGACTGTTCAGATCTTGCTGTATGGGTAGTCTGGTTGTCATGGTCCAACTTCTGCAGCCACTGTGGCACCAGTGGCAAGCTTTGGAAGCCCTTGGAGTCTGACACCGATTTGGTGGTAACAGTTCCTGGCTCTATGTTATGATGAGCAGAAGGTGGCACATCACTCTGTGTGTGGCATGAACAGAAAACAAAGTATTTAGCTTTTGGTTGCATCACTTGCTGACCAGATGGGTCAGACAGAAGTATTGCTTGGGTGAGGTCTGCTTGCAGGCTCTGGGTTAGACTGTGCTTTGCTGTTCACTTTAGTTTTCATGCCTAATGCTCCTATTAATGTCCTTGTGTCTAAAAGCCTTGACCATGCCTTTCTGTCAGATTTATGCTGAGGGCTGTAAAAACTTGGGATGGGGGATATCCCCAAGAATTTATACAATCTTAAGTATAAAATAAAAGATAGGCAGGAAAGCACAATTAAACAGTACTGTGCAGTGCCAGCACTGCGCTTGGCATACGAGCATCTGGAGGAAAATCCAAGAAGTGAATGTTGGGCACTTACCATTGTGTCTGATAAATTAGAAAGACAGATACTGTGAAGATCCTTGTTGTGGGGCATATCCCCAAGAATTTATACAATCTTAAAGTATAAAATAATAGATAGGCAGGAAAGCACAATTAAACACTACTGCGCAGTGCCAGCACTGGGCTTGGCGTACGAGCATCTGGAGGAAAATCCAAGAAGTGATGGGGGATATCCCCAAGAATTTATACAATCTTAAGTATAAAATAAAAGATAGGCAGGAAAGCACAATTAAACAGTACTGTGCAGTGCCAGCACTGCGCTTGGCATACGAGCATCTGGAGGAAAATCCAAGAAGTGAATGTTGGGCACTTACCATTGTGTCTGATAAATTAGAAAGACAGATACTGTGAAGATCCTTGTTCCCATGGAGTGACTAAAGCGGCAAGATCCACAAGTAATGCAGAGTGTTTATTGAATGTCGGGCACTTACCATTGTGTCTGATAAATTAGAAAGACAGATACTGTGAAGATCCTTGTTCCCATGGAGTGACTAAAGCGGCAAGATCCACAAGTAATGCAGAGTGTTTATAGGGAGGCATGTTATTCATGGACTGTTTTGTTTCTTTTTGGTCTTTTCAGGTGTTCCAGGACCTTGGAACTTCTGTGTTGTCAGGTGCATTTAGAGGATATAACATCTGCCTCTTTGCATATGGACAAACAGGTTCAGGAAAAACTTACACAATGATGGGAACACCTGTGAGTTACACTGTTCATTTTACATTTAGTGTTGAGGGTGGGATGTCCAGCAGAAACATCACTTTATTTTTAAACTGTGATTGTGGCGCTTGTTGAGCAGAATGCTTATACATGTTTTATTTGGTATTTAGATATATAAGAATCAAGCCTTTACATTCAGATAAATAATACAGCATCAGCTAAAAATGCTAGAAAATATGGTATAGTTTAAATATTTATTTTAGATAACCTTTATCTTACTATGTATGAATCTTATTACTGTCTTAGAGAACAAAAAAAAAATAAATCTATTCCCCTGAATAGTTCTGGGTTTTAGAAACATACAGCTCAAGATAACACAAAGTATTCATTCTCATGGAATTTTTTGGCAGTCTGAGCTATGCTGAAATTAAATTAATTTCACAAATAAAAATAGATACATTTCACAGGAATACTTTTGTAACAGGCTTCATTATCTGCTTGAGACATTTATCAGTTGCAGAAGTTATCCTTTCACCTGTGGAAACTAATACTTGCTTCACTTCCAGTTTTGAAATGTATTTAAATGGTGTTTGCAGAAGCTGTTACATTTTAAGATTTGCTTCTACCAGAATCCACTTAAAGTGCATTTTAATCTTGCTACTCAGATCCATGGAGTCAGTTGAGGATTTCCTGCATTCTGCTGCAGTGCAAGGCAATTAGATCTCTATCCATAAATAGTCTTGGCTGTTGGCGAAACATGCCCCTGAAAAAGAAAAATTTTATTTAACAGTTTGCATGAGTAGACCACTATTACCTATGCCCCATAGGATTCAATTTGTAAGGTGAAATAAGGGTAGAATTTGTTCAAACTCTGAATATAAGAAAAATGAAACAAGCCCCTGGAAAAGAAAAAAATTATTTAACAGTTTGCATGAGTAGACCACTATTACCTACACCCCATAGGATTCAATTTGCAAGGTGAAATAAGGGCTGAATTTGTTCAAACTCTGAATATAAGAAAAAGACTGTTCTAGCATGGTTTGTGCTTTTGATAAGAGTTTGGATTTCTAAAGTTTTACTTTCTCCACATATATCAGCAATAGGATTTTGTTAAATCATGACCTGATTCTCCACTCATTTTATGCAAAATCAAGTTTAGCTCCATGAAAACCTTAAGAATTGTTAACATTGAGGCTTGTAGGTGACGAACTACAATATTTGTATTATGTTATTTTGAAAATATCTGAGCAATGCCTTAAGAATTGTTAACATTGAGGCTTATAGGTGATAAACTACAATATTTATATTATGTTATTTTGAAAATATCTGAGCAATTCAGAATGGCCACATCTTGAAGTTGTTATTTTCAAGGAAATTTCCAGGCATAGTGTTTCTAAGAGGTTTCTGTCTTATAAAGTGATTTCATTCTCCAATGGAATCCTGCTTTGACCTGATCTTCAAGAACATGTATTCACTGTGAAACACTGTCCAAAACTAGGAAGAAACAAGTGAACTTTTGCCCATGGTGCTCCACTTATGAACCTGGACTTTCTGCCTCCAACACCATTTCAAGTGTGCCTTCTAAAAGCTTTTAATGCTATTTGTCAAGCAGATTGAACCTAGGCCTTAGAGTCTTTCTCAGGGTGTGTTGGCACTGCAGTCACTAAAGTGTGAGCAATCATGTCATAAGAACAGTTCATCACACAGAAACACTGTTAGTTCAGTGCTGTGTAGACTTATTTTGGCAAAGTTTAAATCCGCTGGTTTGGGTACTGTTGGCAGTCCGTATCCCGTTCTCTCTGAGAGACCAGATTTATAAATCTAGGACATAAAACTGTTCCAAACCTGTTCTGTGACACCAAAGCATAGAGAAATAAAAGTAGAATAAGGAATAAACAAAATATTCATGACATCAAGTTAGTTTCAGTGTTGGCCTGGCGTCATCTAGCCTGCAAGACTTCTGACATGGGCACGTCTAGTATCTTTACATCAAACAGCTCTTGGATTTAACCCAGGGCTCTAAACTCCTCATCGATGCTGTATAAGTGGCTCTATAATGACTTCTGCTATAAATAGCATTTGCACCGAAGTTAAGCCAGATGACATTACATGGCACATGAGTGCCTGCAGTGCTGCACGTGCAAGATGCTTCAGCTGGAGTAGTAGAACATGCCATGGTGTTCTGAACTACGCTCCAGAGGGGTTTGTGTTACAATCCATCATACAGTCATTACTTTAATGCTGCACTATGATTCTGTCCTTTTCTTATAACTTGGCTTTTATTTAAAAATAAGTTTTGCAAGAGTGATAGCAAGTATATTGCTTAAATTTCTCTCTGTTTATTATTTGAGCCCTGCCATGGTGTTCTGAACTACACTCCAGAGGGGTTTGTGTTACAATCCATCATACAGTCATTACTTTAATGCTGCACTATGATTCTGTCCTTTTCTTATAACTTGGCTTTTATTTAAAAATAAGTTTTGCAAGAGTGATAGCAAGTATATTGCTTAAATTTCTCTCTGTTTATTATTTGAAGGCATCCATCGGACTGACACCACGTATATGTGAGGTACTTCTTTTCTATTTCACTTGCATTTGTTTAACTAGTTAGATTCTCTTGATGGATTTAAAATGTATATACGCTTCTGATTTGTGCAGGGCCTCTTTTCAAGGAAAGATGATTACTCAGACCAGGCAGCATCTTGCAGAGTAAAGGTCAGGTAAGTGTGTCACTGTTTGGGGCAATGCTATGAATGCTTTCAGCAACATATTGCTGTAATCAAACAAAGTAAAGACTAGTTTATTTTGTTTCTGTTTTCTCAGAGGATAATAATTTTGGAACAAGGGGGAGAACACAGAGGAAGGATGAGAAAGTGTTGGTTTTAGTTTTCCATCTCAGTATAGTTCTTTGGATGCTGTTTTGTATAGACAGCTGAAATAGGAGTCCATTAAAAATTTACTTCCTGTTTGTTTAACTCTTAAATTTCAGCCATAATCCTACATTCCGTTCTTTTTTGTCTTTCACATAGATCTAATGAAGCCGTATGTTTTGAAATCTGGGGATTTGGACTCACTAGTGTTAAAAAAGGATATTTTATGAATTTTTAAATAAAATCTTGAATGCATCTTGCTTCTTGGAAATTTGCTACTATGAGTTCTTTTATATGTGTACTGCATGGGAAGGGGCAGTGACAGATTATGAAAATGAATTCATTAACTTTATCATGAAAGATCTATACAAGATTCAGGTAGTGACATTGCCTAAATATATGCTTTCACTTTTTTTTTAATTGTGTGCATTTAACATTCCTCTTTTTTTTTTTTTTGGCTTTCCAGTTTTCTTGAAATCTATAATGAGCGTGTCCGAGATTTGTTAAAACAATCAGACCGAAAGAAACCTTATACCCTTCGAGTCCGTGAACACCCTGAAACAGGACCATATGTACAAGGTGAGCACAGGCTTCACAACTTAGTGTCAGAATTTCAAGTAAATGTGCATCAGGTCTATATGTATCTTTGCATATGTTCCTAATTGCTTCTACTCTTCAAGAGTTACTTTCCTCAAATATTTTGATTGCTGATATGAACGTGTAATACACTGAAAGCTTTGCCTCTGTTATCCCACTGGCTGGATATCCTCCACTTTCCTGTTTGCCTTTCTAGGCATAGGTTGTGTGTGAGCTGTAGTGTTTTGCTTTCTTTTGTTTTAAAGAAATCTTAAGAAATCCGCCAACATCAGTTCTAAATGGGTTCTCCAGACCAGCCTAGGTCCCTCCATGCCTGTGTCAGACCTTGGCAGTATATATATAAAATAATAATAATAAAAAACTAGATAAACTCAACTGTTTGATGTTGCAGACCAGGCCATGAGAAGTGATTAAAAGCTGTATTGCCCAAGTGAGAACCCAATTAGCTTCATTTTCATTCATTAATGTGAAAAAACATAGGATGGGTAGGTGCATTATATGATTATAAACATCACACGCTTTTGAATAACCACTTGCAACAGCAGCCCCTCAGGTGGTTTTGTGTTTTCTAGTGAATCATAGCTTTCAAATCAGGTGACAGAGCAGATGAAAAAACCCCCATATGTATTTTTTCCATTTCAGTTGTCTGTCTTATTTCAGTTTATATCTTCTCTCTCATTGTTTTTGTACTTCTGGTTTATTTTCACTCTTGCTGCCTTCACTTCAGGGTCTTACATAGCTTTAAACTGGAGTTTGGCCATCGATACTTGTGAATTGATTAGCTCCTTGTGTAAAGTTTGCCTGCTGCATTTCTGTTTATGTGGCCAACAACTTATGTGACATAAGGGATGCCTCTCAAAATCAGTGCACCATACAGAGTAGCTTCACAGGGGAGATCAGAAGGAAGAGCCTTTTCTACACTTATGCAAGTTTCAAAAATTACTGAGTTTGTTTAGAAAGTAAATGCATAAGTTTCCTTTTCAGCATGCTTCCAGCAGAATTCCAAAGTTGCCCCTGGTATCACTGACTCTGCAACTGCTTGGCTGGCCACCAAGTGGGTAGTAACACCTGGGAGGTATGCATTTAGTATGCAAAATGCATATCACACAGAATTTTATTGGTCCTGTCACATCAGATCAAATACTGATTTTGTTCTGGCTTTTAAATAAAGTTCTTGTCTCTGTTGATTTTCTGAATTCCTTTTGTTCTCCCTGGTTCACTTTTCTCTCTTTCTTATCACATTACACGTCAGTCTGTTCCCCTCACTTCAGAGATTAAGGCAAGATGTGACAACAGACAGGGTGACCTGACCGTGTGATTGAATGGAGCCTGGAATTCCCAGCTCTCATTCCCGGAGCATCTGCAGTATCAGTCACAACGAACGGTTGTTACCAATTCCTTCTCTCAAAATTTGAAATAAGCACTTGGGAAGGATTGAACTTGCACAGTCCTGTACATGAGGGACTCTCTGGCATTCTGGTTATTTCAGCTGTGCTTTCCCAGCACATCAGCATCCTGTTTAAGCAGAGTTGGAAAATAGATGAATTGATGGTCTCATTAGTATGGCAAACTTACCATTCTTTGAAAAGCAGATTCATAGACATTTGGCCTTTATTGAGGTCTTTCCAAGATTTTCTTTTTACCTGCTTGTTATCGGAGAACTTCGTTGTTGATGGAGTACAGTTACTAATTATTTTCTTTTAGTAGCTGCTCATTCACCACACGAGAAAAGGTCTTTAAACTGCTTCCTTCCTTGGCAATTTCCATCCCTTTTCTCAGGCCTTATATCTCCAGTGATTCCTTGGCTGCATATAATGGATTTTCCTTGTTTTAAAAGAAAATGAAGTTATAGCTTCTGCCAATGGGCTGGCTTGCCTTTTGTCACTATTTTGTCTTCAACTGGAACCTTCCAGGCCAAATCCATCACTTCTTTTCCAGTTCTTTTTTTTGGGGGGGTTTTGTTTGGGTTTTTTCTTTAATTATTATTTAATTTTGTCTCTTTTGAATAAGGATTGTATACTTAGACACAACTAAAAATTTTAAGTGGAACAGTTTTATGCTAGAGTTTTGAAATATCCCATAAAAGTTCCCAAGTGATTAGATTTTGTAAAATAAGAGGAAAGGATAATGGAAAAAGGTTAACCAAAATAATATTTGCCAGCTTTCGCTATGTTTGTAAATCCAGTATGAATACTTTATTTTAGAAGATTCTCTCCCTCTCTTATCTTGCGACAGCCTCCCAAAATCATTATGTTAATTGCTGTGAGAAAAAAAATTAATTTTAATGATAAATGTGATTCGCAGTTTTAGAAAAATTTATCACATGCATGAAAAATTAAGTAATTTCTCTACTGAAAGCGTCATGGGGTGTGACTAGAACTGTCGTGAGAGCATGTGAACAAAAGTGGTTTCAGGCTGATGAGTCAGTGGCTTAGGGCAACAGTCAGATGAGTTATTTTTTTTTTAGATACGTGTATATAATTATGTATAAATAAATAAATACACATATTTACAGTTTACACAATTAAGAATGGTAACAGTTTGCTGTACTTGAGACAACCCTGTTGTCTTTTGGGGCAAGGGACTGCTAAAGAAGGTATGATTATGTAGCACCTTTGGGATTGCACTCATTAGCTCCCATCAAAAATAAGCAGCAGTGAGAAAGTCCAGAGGTCTTTTGAATGAGGGTGAGCAGTACAGTCAGTTTGATTTTAATAGTGTCGAATTCAAGAAAATGAAGTGGTTCACAGCTCTGGTAAAAAAATGCCCTTCTCAACTACAGTAATATGTTGTTGCAATCAGCATTTGCTGATCTCTGTAATTAGGGCCTTCTACATGCTGAAGTAGCCTTTTGCAGTTTAATACGTAGTCTCTCTGTGCAGGATCAGAGCACGTGAATATTGTTTCCAATAGTTAGGTGGCTGAGATCAGAATTACCAGCAAGCTTCCTGGAAGGAGAGCTCGGTTTGTATTCCCCTTCCAGGCAATCTGCTGTAGGGGAGAAATAAAAATGGTGAACGTTAACAAAGCTCAGAATTTTTCCATTATTTCCCATGGATCCAGTATGTTAAGGACTAGCATCTGCATTTGCATCATACTTCTTGCAGGCCATCAGCAATTTTAAGGTTTGCTGACTTAGATCAGGAGCTCCCCAGCGTACCATTAGTTTGTCAGTTGTGTGCTTGGTGTCAGTGATACCCAGAATAGTTAGCCCTGGATGAAGAACAGACAGAGGAAAATCAGAAAACTTAACCCCTTTAAGGACACTTAGGTGTTCTGGGCAATGCATTTTCCATTTGCAAGTCCAGTCAGGAAGTCCCAGCTCTGAACACTAAGTATTTTGAATAGTTTCCAGCCCATCATTTTTCTACGTAAAGGCTGTGAGATTGTAGCCTTTAAAATGCTGAAAGTGTTTTAGTGCTTTGGGTTGGAATCGTTTCAAACTTCTCCCTCACAGATGGTTGCACTGTTAAGGAATCGGCCTCTCTTAAATCAGGAAATGATGCAATCTATTTTGTTGCTCTGAGACAGATTTCTGAGGGAGATCCTTTCTTACTCCAAGGCAGATTTCTAGATGAGCAAGTGTTTTTGATCTTGAAAATGGCCTTTCTTGTTCTAGCAGCCACCAGAACACTTTGTCATTTCTTTTCAAATGTTTACAATATTTCATTTACCTTATTGAAAAACTAAATGTTTTGAACTCTGCTAGATTCACTGTTCTAGTACTTACTGAAAGATAAGAATTTCTTCCATGCCTCCATTTTATAACTGGATTTTTAATCAGTTAAACAAGACCCTGAAAAAGGGTCTGGGAAAACAATAATAGTTTCCATATTCTGAGCTTTGAAGATCCCAGTGCTGTTGGAAAAATAATGGGCCTCTTTCTCAAATGGAAAATGTGATGACTTCTGGAATGAATGTATTGTAAATGGACACTGGAGAGCAGAAGAAATGCTTTTGTTTGAAAATCATCCTATACTTTTTGTGTGTGCAAGTGTGCATGCATGCACACTATAGTTAGGGGATTTTTTTTTTAAAGGTATGGGTGATAAAAATCTTCTGTTTTTCTTTACGTGTATCAGTTGTTAAAGGACTAAAATAAATTCACATCTTTGGCTTAGATTTTGCTTCCATTTGAAGTTAAACAAGCTGTTATCATGTAAGGATACACTGTCTTTAACTGTCAGAAGTACTTATTTCAGTATTGTTGAATTTTATTTTCATCTTGATTTATATTGTAGCAGTAGATAAATTATTTGATCCAAATAAATTACATTTTTCAGTACTTTGCCTACATCTACGCTTTTGTGGTCTTCAGTAAGATAAAGCAAGCCTAAATCAGTGCAATCACCCAAGGAAGTAGCCCTGGATTCCAGCTCTGAGATAACACGTACCGCAAACGAGTGTTTTACGAGATACTGTATGATGAAGTCTTGCTTCACAACTCAGGTGTTTTTTTTAGGAGTCACTGCAGGACAAATGATAACTAATCATCACCATAACATGCAAACGAGGCATACTAAACTGGATTTATGTGAAATACAAGCCCGTTGAGGTTAATTTTGTGTGTCTGCTGGAATGTGCATTTTGCAAGGGGCTGGCGGTGCGGCTGCAGCACAGCAGCAGGCTGCCCTCCACTGGGGTGCTGAGAGCCACAACCACCACACAGCAGCTCTGCAATGCACCACTTCTTGCATTTGTTTTCAGCGGGGTCTTTCCCCCCTTAAAAATAAAATCAAATTTAACAAAAAAACCCAAAACAACTCCAGACAAAACTCAAAGCACGAGATATGCAAAGGCCAGATGTTTGATACCATTATTTGGGTACCCCCAGGGACAAAAAAGCGTGAACACTCCCAATGTGTTGCAGGCTGAAGCCTAGTTAAGTAAATGGTAAATATTCACAAGGGTTGATCTCTAATTCATTTAGTTGCCCGAGTTGAGCCATTATCCAGAGGCAATGGCAAAAAGCTTCTTTACAGGATCTGTACCTATTTAGTAGCAGTGACATAGCTGAAAATTTCAGGTACATTGGTTTATATACCATTGTTTTGCAGACAAGCTGGAAAAAGGTCTGCACTTCAAAGTACAAGGTATTTTTTTATACTGATGTCACTGCATGTGAAGGATGGATTGCAATTTTTTATTTTATTTTTTTAGAAAGAATTTCTTTTTTTTAAATAAAATAGTCTAGTTGAGAGACTGCTTGTGGAACAGCCTGGCATCCCAGCAGAATGCCCATATGGCCCTGATGTTGGATAAATTGTTGGGTAAACAGACTGAAATTTCCTGAGAAAAATATGCTGCAATATACAGCAAAACATTTTGCTGTAAACAAACTTCTGTTTTTCTCCCTCACTTGCTCATTAAACTGCATAGCTTTCAACTAACTTGTTAATGTAACTTAGTGATTTAACTCTTTTTAAATCTTTGGCAGGGTTGACTCAACATTTAGTTACTGACTACAAGCAAGTTGTAGAACTTCTAGAAGAAGGAATAGCTAAAAGGTATTTTATGAAACAAATAAGCTCTATCTTTATTAAACAATTCTTTCACCATGTGTTGATTTCGTTAATGTTTATTTTACCGACAGTGTTGCCAATGCTTTGTTGTGACAAGGTGTCAGATTTGCTGATCCTGCACGTGACACACACATAAGATGTTACATATCCTCATATTATCCACAATAAGAGCTGCAAGCACTCATGAAGTTGTTTTTTCAAAACTGATCCCATGCTGACTTACTGAAAAAGTTCAACCATCTGTCTGGGCTAACAAATTCGTGCCAGGAAAACATTTTGCTGTAAACAAACCTGTTTTTCTCTTTCACTTGCTCATGACCCTTTAGACTGCATAGCTTTCAACTAACTTGTTAATGTAACTTAGTGATTTAAAATTGCTGAAAAGATAGTGTATTTTCAATTTCTAAAAATATTTGTTTTATAATTATTTGGTTTACTCTTTTAAGTATTTTTTTAGGTTCTTAGTCCAAATCATGCATGTTTGCTATGAGAGAACTGTGGGAGTTTGCACACCAGTGAAGCCAATAATTTCAGCTCTCATTAGTCAAGATACTTTTTTACGTTTTCAACAGGGAGCCTTGGATATCAATACAACTGCTCTTACAGTGATGGAAAAGAGTTGTATTTGAAAGGATCCTCCAAATACAAATCACAGTTCCAAAATAGATATTAAGTCTTATCATAAGAGAGGTCAAGATTTTAGAATATCACTGATCCTTGGAACTAAAGAAAACTAAGCTGCATTACCATAAAAACATAGAACATACTGCAGGATTAAATTTTGCAGCTTCTGTTTGTAGCAATCAATAGATGCAACTATACAGTAAGAAGAGTTCTTTTCAAAAAAACAACAAAATTCTAGTCTGTCTGCTAGTGTAATCCTACAGTCATCTCATTGCTAAGGAAATAGAAGATGTGGAGAAAACAAAATCAGAGGCTCAATATTGTGCGTGTATGTTTTTGTGATGCTGAAGTTTCAAACTTCGTCACTTGCATGAAACCAAGCAACTACTTCTTTTTCTGAGTAACTTTTCAAAAAGTTATTTGGAATATACAGGAAACTCCTATTTGCCTATAGTCTTTATTTTTATAAAGTATTCTGCAGAGTGTTTATTAGCATATTATAAATGCAAAGAAACTGATTAAAAACATCTCCAGTCTGGGAAATGATGCAAAAAGAACATCAGCAAGATCTTAGGGATAAAGAAGGTGGGGAGCAGGTTGCAATTGCCCCATATGCCTGGAGGCAGGAGAGGATGGGATGTGATTTGGAGCCAGGTCTGACTATACAGGGAAGTTGGGAGGGGAAGCTCCCCTTGAACATGGGTGGTGCCTTTCATGGGGGAGAGGGCAGGTCCTGTACTAACAACAACCAGAGTGTACTGAAGGCATTTTTACTACCAGTTGGTTTTATCAGGCCATCTCCAGCCTGCTCTGGCTGCACCTGTCCACTCTAAAATAAACAAACATGATTTTCAACATGCAATCATTATTTTTGTTGCAACTCTGTGCTGCTATGTTATTTTCTCTTGATACTTTGCAAAACTCAATCTCAAATGCTTACGAATAGAATTTTTTAAATGCAGGAAATACAAATTTCCAAAAACTTAGCCCTGATGCTGTGTAAAGCAAAACAACCAATAATTTCTTGATAATATTATTGGAACAGTTAAAAATATTAAAACATACACCACATGCCACGATGAAATGGAGTATATGAAAAGCTAGTACATACATTCTCCCATGAAAATGCTGACATGGGTTGTGAGTAGTTGAGGTGTGAGCTTGCCCTCCGATTATGGAGGTGAGAAGTGAGTCCTTACACTTCCTTCTCCAAACCCTGAGGCACTTTCTATTTCTCTGTTGCTTTATAAACTTCAGTGCTGTTCCTTTACATTCACTGGCCACTGTGGAGCTGTTCTCTATCTTCTGCCCTTTACTTAATTGTTTGTCTTCTTCCTCCAAGATCTGGAGACTAGTTCACATTCTGCTTCCTCAGTTTATAACCAGGATGCACTAGGCTGCCTGTGGCTTTTGGCAGTGCCTGGTGGGGAGGTGCTGGAAGTGGAGAGCAATAGGGAGGAGAGTCTCAGAGTCCTTTGGCCACAGACAGCAGGTGCTTAGGGGCGTACACACAGCTGTGGCTCTCAAGTGTACTCTGACAGCTGGGCTCCTAACAAAAAATGCAGTTTCCCAGTCCTTGTCTGCACTACTAAAATTGCTGGTTGTTGTTGAGGGTAAGCCTGGCAAAACCAACATTGAATGCTGCACATAGAGCTGAGACACGCTACAAGAGTGACAAAGGGTGACCTGGCTTCTGCGCTAGGCAAAACCCTGCTTTCTTTGGGTTTGTCTAATCAAAACAGCAACAAAGAAAGTAGAATTTCCAAAAGTTTGTGTTACAGAGACAGTGGTAGAATGCTGCTGCTGCTTCTTCTCCTGTGCCTGATACCTGCTAGCCAGAGTGCAGTGGGTCGCAGGGCTAGAGCCAGGTGACCCGTCTGTCCACATGGTAAAGCCAAGCAAGTGCTGCATGAGTGAATTACCATATTAATTGGTACTTATTCAGGTAGACTGCCTAATCTCCTTGGACTCCTCTAAGTGTAAAACTATTGTATCAGCCCGGTGACAGGATGAGCCCCAGAAGTAGTATTTGAAGCTCTTTGGACCCTTTGAAGTACCAAGAAATAAAAACAAGAGCAGTGGAACAATGTGGAGAAAATGTACTGGGCCAGTACATTCAGTGGTGGTGGGGGTGAGCTGTATGGTGTGGTTGCTGGCTGTACTTCTCTGCTCTCTCTACCCTTACACAACATCTGCACTGTAGGGCTGCTGTAAGGTCCTTCTTCTGAGTGCTGCTGGTGGACAGAAACATCTCTAACTGACTCTCGATTTCCGCCCTTCCAGGTCCTCTGCCAGACGCTCTGTGATCAGATCCAAGAATACAGTCTGCCATATTCTCCAAATTTCACGTTCCTTCATTTTCATTTATCTGCTCTATTTGTTATTTTTGCTTTCTCTGAATACAAGGAAATAAGTATTTGTAATTGAACGGTTTGTTCTTCTCTCTAGAATCACAGCAGCTACACATATTCATAATGCCAGCAGCAGATCCCATGCTATCTTCACCATCCACTACACTCAGGTTAGCTAAAAATAATCCAACTTCCTTTTTTCTTCTCTCTCAAAAAGCATTGTTCAATGTGTTGTGCATTGTTTACTTGTCACTGTTTTGTGCTGTTTGTGATAATCTCGGTGGAAACTGTTACTTCCTTTGGATCACCCTGCAGATGTGTTACACTTCCTATGCTGCCTGATGTGTTGGGTGTTTACTGAAGTATTCTTGTTCCTTTATGCAAGCTTAGTAGTCAGAAGTGATGCCAAAGGCTCGCTGTAAAAAGAAATGTTTAAAGTTTTAATCAGCCCTTTGAAATGCAATACCTCTTCTAGGATGCTGTGAAAATCACATGTGAATATATTTAAAGTTACATTTTGTCATGCTCATTTAGGATCCTTAAATGAAGTATAGCATTAGTTTAATGCTTACCAAAATTTTGTGTCTGTCCAGCTTTTCAGATGTGCTCATCTCTTTAGCATTTGGCATCCAGTGCTCTTCCAGGGACAATGCACCCTTTCTCCACAGGAATTATATCCTTCCCTGGCAGGGAAGTCGTTCAGTGATCCAATAGACCTTTTCTATCTCACATTTCTAACATCCTGTAATCACAGAACATTTTGGGGCATTTTTCAGTAGTTTCACAAAAGACCTTTGGAATACATTAGTGGAAAATAACTCTGCAAGATCTACAAGAAAGCCTTTCACAGTCACTAGGCAGTAAAGGCTTTTTTCAAGAGGAAATAGGCATAAGAGGGTAGTTTTTCTGTCGGGTGAGAAAGCTGGTGAGTTAACGGTTTGACCATAGTCAGTGGTTCAAGGTCACAAAGAAAGGCAGTGAGACAGTCATGTGTACAACTCAGTTTCAAACAAAAGAGCACATCTATTTTATTTTCATTAATTAATTAATTAAGAGGAATAATCATCCTTATTTACATATTTCTTTTCAGGCTATATTGGAGAACAATCTCCCCTCTGAAATTGCAAGCAAGATCAACTTAGTGGACCTTGCAGGCAGGTAATAATATACTGAGGGGCAAAAAGGTAATTTTCTCTGAAGGTGCTGGTAGTACTGCCTTAAAAGATGAAATTTAATATTTTTTAAACTCCATTAAACTACGAATTAGCCTGACTTTTGTATATAGTAACAAGGAATGTTGAGCTAATATTGTCTCTGTCATTTGTTCTTCTGTGTTGAGTATTGGATTTCGTTGAGGAAGGCAATTCCTGGGTCCTCAGATCCAATACTGTGCTATTGGTGGAATTACCAAATCTGAGCTTGAAAAGAAGGAGAAAAAAAAAAGGAATATATTCCTCATGGCTGCCTAGCATAGGTGGGAGAAAACAGTCATTTGTCACTGCGTATGTTTTTCATGTTCCAAAAGTTCCTATGTCTTGGATCATAGCTATGCATTTCAGTGAGGAATATGTGGTTATGCTGGATGAGACAGGGAATAGAAAGATGGAAGTTGTGCTGAAGAGTTACAGAACAGTTGGAGAACAGGACGTTTTTCTTTCTCAAGAATGTAAATGGCCATGCATGTCTGAGCAGAGAGAGTAGCATTGAGAGGATATACAGACTTTTGCACTGAGCCAGTCTGTCATTGCAGAGCTGTGAAATGTATGTTTGGGTTTTCTTTAATTCAGAACCACTATGATTGGGTTGCACACTTTAGGCTTGAATTTATGTTTTGATGGGTCTTTAACAGTAATTTGTGCCAGTGGCCTTGGCTCATGGTTGTTTGGAATTTCTGAACCAGAGCGCAATGTATTCAAGTCATATAGCTTTTTAATTACAAAGCTTACAATTTTTGTTTTCTTTTATGTCAGAAAAATACTAATTCTATCATCTTGATTGTATGTTAATAATTAAGCATTTTTGTTTGGTTTGCGTTTTCTTTTTCATGCTCGTATGCTATAGTGAAAGAGCTGATCCCAGTTACTGTAAAGATCGAATTACCGAAGGTGCCAATATTAACAAGTCATTAGTTACACTTGGAATTGTCATCTCCACTTTAGGTAAGCACAGTAGTTCTTTATATTGAAGGGCAGTGATAAAAGCATAGGACTGACTCACCGTGTGCTGTGTGTTAATGTTTATCTATGCTTACAACAAAAGGCTGAGCAGAACAGCCGTGTGGTATCTTCATAAATAGTATCGACATCTAAGAAAATTAAATAGCCGTGACAGAAAAAGATGACCCCTTTCCTGAGCTCGGTGGTATTTCTCCTTCAGCACAAAATTCACAGATGTTCAGCAGCTGCCAGAGCATAAATACCATAACAAGCGAAGGGGAGAGCAGCCATGCAGACAGTCCTTCCACAGGCAGCATCAGTGGGACCAGGCGGCCGGCTTACATCCCCTACCGTGACTCCATCCTTACCTGGCTTCTGAAGGACAGTCTGGGGGGCAACTCCAAGACCATTATGATTGCCAGTGAGTTTGGTTTCTATTAATTGTTAACATTTTGCACTACATTATCCCCTTAAAATACATCTCTAATGCAGTGAGAAGACAGCTGTATCACTTAGAATCTGTCCTTGTAAAGATATTAATAAATACTTCATAGGATACTCAAGGAAATGAAAAGGTATGCTGATTGTGCATGATGTTAAGCTTAAGAGTCTTCCAAGGTCATAGCTTTGATTTAAAGTGATTTATTCATTTACAATCTTGAGAAGACATTTTCTGTGAGCGTGATGAAATATCCCTAAGGATGTTTTTGGGTTTGTTTTTTAAAGAAGCAAGACTAAAAAAAAACACCATCTTTTGGAAAAGTAGTGGGTTAAGTGGATTACTTTTTAAAATAGTATTTATTTTCTATTTGTTTTCTGTCTGCAGCTATCTCTCCTGCTAGCTCCAGCTACAATGAGACCATGAGTACCTTGAGATATGCTTCAAATGCCAAAAATATCATTAACAAGCCCAGAGTGAATGAGGTGAGGCCTTGAGTTCTACTTTTCATTCTTGTTCCATTTTGTTGTATGTATTATTTAAGGTTTATTCAGTAGATCTGCTCTCTGAGTAAAATTCATACCTCTTTTTCCCATGTTAATGAGAGCTAAATAGGAGCCTGAATATTATAGAAATAATTTTCTTGATCCTCTGCAGCTTAAATTATTTAGAATTTCACACCTATTTTTTATTCTTCTCTTTCCATTGAGTTTCAATCATCCTTCTCTTTGAATTGTTATGATGTGTATGTTTACCCTATGCCTTTATCCTAAATATTGGCAGTTACAGATCTATAACTGGTCCTCCTGGGTTGGCCTCTTGTTACATACAGCCTGTCAGCCTCCCAGCTTGTGTGCCCACCACTCTCTTGCACAGTCCATGCTTGACCATTAGCTCCATCCCTTCAGTTCACTGCCTTCTTCCACTCACTGAGGACTGACCTGAGCCGAAGTGTCACTGGCAGCCCAGAGAAAGTTGAATCTTGCGTTTCTGCAAAAAGTCTGGTTTCCAGACTGTGCAGAGATGCTCACTCTGAAAGTGAGATAAATGCCTCCACACAAGCAGGCAGGAAATGCTTTTTGTATCTGCTGTGAGGGATTTTAGTACCATGGTTGGTGACATTCTGACTTAGTCTCCTCTAGTCTGATTTTCTCCTCTGCGTGACAGAAATAACAGCATTTTTCTGACCTGATGGGACTATTTTGAAGGTAAATCCTTAAAAGTTGTGGTGTATTCAGCTATTGTCATGATGGGAGAAAATACTATGGTAGGTCTGTGTTCAGAAAAAAGATGGAACAAAGTTTATGGGAAAAGAGAATGTATTAAACATGGGAACCACTTAAACCTAGGTGGCACATCCCAGAGGCCTGGCAGAGTGGAGTTAGGGTACTGCTGTAAATGTGTCCATTCTACTCTCTTTCCAGCTCTTGGAAAAGCTCTGCATTGATTTCTTTAGCTAGAATTTTTAAAGAATGATTTTTCCAACATCTGTGTCTCAATGTTTCAGGATGCAAACGTAAAACTGATCAGAGAACTGCGAGAAGAAATTGACAGGTTGAAGACTATGCTGATGAGCTTTGAACTGGTACGTAGGAGCATTCCCAGCTGGAGCCCTAATGGTGCTTTAAGTAGCTAGAGTAGCTTACTTTTGTCTTATCTGTTTATCTTTCCATGTTTATTGTAACTTAGGGGGAAATTAAACTGTCCTCTGAGTGATTTCACAATGATTATAAGGCTAACTGCATTTCTGTCATTCCTCCTTTTTCTGGTATTCTACTGATAAACCTGAAGTATAAGTAGTTTTGCAATTATTAGAAAGGTTTTCCTTTCCTGTCTTTCATGGAGTGGAATGGTTTTGTTGTCCAGAAATACCGTGAAATAGAAATATTTTATTTGTAGGGATATGAAAGCACCAAGACAGTACAAAATATTAATCATTAAGGCAATTTTCCTGCCAGACTTGTTACAATCCTCTTTGCCAAAAAAGTGAGCTAGTAGACCTCAGCAGTATGTTGGAGGTTTCACCCTGCCTGCACACACTGGCCCCAGAAAGAAGTTGAACATGTGTGAGCCCTCACTATACATCTGACATTCTGTGGTTTTCTCCTTTGGAATAATAATAGTGTCTTGGTTTTCCATGCCACAGAGAGCATGGTTTGCTGGGAGAGACTGGAACCTACAGTCCAGGATTTATGTACACAGAAGCATCTCTCTGTTAATGCTCTTTCACCGGTTCTTCACAAAAACTTGCATGCAATAGCTAGAGAGCTGTAGGCTAGATGCTAGAAGGCAGTATCAAATGTCTGTGTATTTTATCTTTCCTTCTCCTGAGTTCATCTCTTTGAAATCCTGAAGAGTGAAAGAACATGCCTGCTGGTTGTGAGTAAGGAAACTAACATGTAGATCTTGGTGGCTGTTGTTTGTACAGAGGAATTCTAGTCCTTCTTGGAGCGATGACAGGGATGGAAATCTGACTGAGCTGGTGCTTCAGAATGAAATGAAGGTGTGTATGATCTGTTTGATGCTGTAACTCTCTGCTGTTTCACTGGGCTGGGAGGATAGCATTGCCATAGTTCTGGAACCACAGTGAAAATGGTTTTGTCCTAATCCTTTCCCGTTTGCTCTGAATATACAGGTAATTGCCGTCCATAATGCATGTTGGGTGCTCTCTACCAATTTGTGATGAAAGTCTCGTGTCCTTAGTGGGATACTGTCCATTGAGTCCATCTCTAAGTCTGCACAGTCTACTCCTTGTTTGAAAGCTGTCTCAATACATCACAGTAATTCATTATACAGAGCCTTTCCTAAGATTAAACTCCTCCAATTTGTTCAAAGGAAATTATTGTGCAGTCACCAAATTACGAAGAAGATTTGATCACTGGTGACCTGAAAAGGTTTTGGAGATATTAGTTTTAAGTTTTGCTTAAAGACACACAAAATAACTAGTTAGCATGATCATGTATCTTTCTGACATCTTTAGAAATGAGTCTTCAATAAATTAAACTTGCTTCACTTGGTGGTAGTACAGTTTTTACCCGATTTTTTTTGTTGCCACAGAAATGTACTGCAATTTGAAATACACCTGCATTGCAACTAGTGAAAGAATTTTGCATCCAGTAACTGGAAAAAATTGTGTTCTTTCTGAATAAATTTATGTATGTGAAAAATTAACGTGCTTAGTAAGTGAAACACTTTTGTCTCCTATTCTTTAAGATTGAGCAGTTGACCAAAGACTGGACAAATAAATGGACAGACAGAAAAGCCATCATGGAAGAATACAGTGTGGACATCAACAAAGAAAAAGCTGGAGTAACAATAGATTCTAGTTTACCTCATCTAATGGCCATGGATGATGATATCCTCAGCACGGGAGTGGTGCTGTATCATCTCAGGGTGAGATATTGTCACTTGTCTTGTTTTTTCCTTGAATTTGAAAAGACTTGTTTTCTTAGGAAATGGAGATCGGTTAAGGTGTCATTACAACAACAGCTGTCAGAAAAGACTGTAGCCCACAAGACACAGATAACAGGGAAAAAAGCAGAAAAGGATACGTGAAAATGGAGGAGAAGAATTCATATATGGAATAATAATTTTACCTTTTATGAATTCACGTGCAAACTATTTGATAGTGTATAATAAGCAAATGAAAATAGTCAAATTGGGCATTAGTAGTTTATCCACAAAGCATGAGGACAGGTGTGTGTTCATGCATGTGTGTAAACGTAAAGGATGGTATTTAAAGTATAGCAGACACGCTGGTCCAGATTTTACTTGGTACTTGTATACTTCAGACTGGAATGGTAATTACTTGTGATCCCACATGAGTGACTGTTTTCCTGGATCAGGTGGAAAACCTTGACTCATGGATAGTGTTTTGCTGTGTAGCTCTTCATTTAAGGCAAGGTTTTCACCAAGAAGCTTTCATAACACTGTATGTATATTACTCCCCATTGCAGCTTATGATGTGCATAGCTAGGTCCACATAGTATCTTTTTTTCAGTAAGTCAGTGCTAAGCTGGACTTTAACTTTTTAATGTTGTTTTAAATGAATGGAAATTACTGAAATATTTATGCTGTTCAATGTAAAAGGAATGATGGATGGTCATCTCTACAGAGGTGCACTCATTAGCGAAAAATGTGTTAAATATGGTTGAAAATTATTTATCTGTCTACTAATAAAATATCTCAGTACAAATCTAGGTTTTGTGCTACTTGATATAGTTTAGGGACACAGGATTTTTTTTCCTGTTAAAAAGCTGCAACAAATATTTGAAACAGAAATCATGCTGTTGCTTATAATGTTGAGAGAGAAACATTCTTAATTTTTCTTGTGCCAGCACAAAGAAATTTTACCAGATAATAATTAGGGACCAAGTAATAATGTCTGGTGCTGATCAACATGTGACTTGAACTACTTATTCCTCCATTAACATTAAATATTTATTAAAAGTAATTGCTACTACTTAAATGTTTTTCCATTATGTGCTGTTTTGGAAACAGCAAATATTTTCACATACTAATTGTGACAACACCTAAAGTGATTTAAAGATACTCATTTTAATGAAGAAGCCTAGTTTGAAGGGTCACCTTCTGAAGTCATTAGTGTCTCTGTCACACTAACATCTTTGTCCCCTCTTTCTTTGCTCCTAGATGCTGCCTTTTCTTTTCATTGTGCTTTGCATCTTTTAGACTATGGTGTCTATTACCTTCATCTGAACAGCGAGAAGGTAAAACATTAGCAGTTCCTTACATGTTAGGGCTTCAACATATAACAGCACTTTACATTGGAGTTCTAGAGAGAGGTCACAACAGCAGTTTTCAGATCATGTGGAATAAACATTGCATTACTCTTTTAGTCCCTTGATATTCCATAGTATTAATTGCACTAATCATTGCTGTGCCTGTGCTTAAACAACCTTTCTTTCTTAGGTTCTGTTCTTTTTTTCTGGCTTTCATTAACAGAAACATATGTTTTCTTTATAACTGACCTTTTTGTGTAGCTTAAAAATATGGGAATTTTTATTATATTGTTTTAGGAAAAGATGTACTTCACAAACCTTTTCTGAAAGTTGGAATACTCCCAAAACTGAAGGAGGAAAGCAGTCTCAGTCTTTATGGTTCTATAATGTGACTTGGGAGTTCTACCCTCAGTCAGGAAACACTGCCAGAAGAGGGTAGCAATGTAAAAGCGCTTAAGAGATGTGAAGATGTATCTTGATATGTTAAGGTGAAGTTGTGCAATCATTTTGTCTGAATCATGTCTTTCACTTTTTCAGGTAGAATACTCAATATTAAATTAGGAAACAGTATAAATATTTGAATTATTAGCTCAGTAATAGCATTTGAAGGCATTAAATCATTGTGGGCGTAGCCTGTTAATGGCTCTGTTTGGTTTGCTTTCTTCTTTGAGTTAGTTTGCTTGTATCCTGTCTGAACTCTTGCTCTCAGCTGCAATTTTTGGTTGTACTTAAACTCACCAAAAATCACTTCACTAACTGGGATGCTGTTGTGAATTTCATGAACCAATACTGCTGTGATACACTTCCCTGAATTGAATTGTATCGCCACAGATTTATTTCAGCACATTGGAAAAAGGTTTCTTTTGGAATTAGAATAACTATGTCTTTGCTTAGTCAAGAATGTTATTGATAAAGAGGTCTTTTAGGAGTTGATTTACTTCTCTTGGTATAAAATACATGTTGCTAACTCACTTGAATGTGTGAGGTGAGTCAAAGGCTATACAGGTCACAAGTTTTCCAATTTGTGGCCAAGCCAAGTGGACATACTGTGGTTGAGTCCACTGAATGTGAAGCTGACATGTAACTTGATAATCACCCTAAAGCAGGGGCACTGGCCACAATCCAGGGTTCAGCCTCTCCAGCAAGGGAGTCTCAGCAGAGCTTGTAGCAAAGGGGCTCTGTTAGTCAGTTCATATAGCTGAGCTCTGTGAGGAACTGAATGATAAACATTCCCTTTCCCTCCAATGCACAAAAATACTGTGATTTACTCATAATTACTCATAACTGTATCATCTTGCAGCAGTGCACAGCTTCCCTTTTCTCCATCTTCATGCTTCTGATTACTACTTCTTGCTTCATCTTTAAATCTAGGGTATAGTATGCTTGGAGCAGGAAGCATCTTCAACTTATTCTAATTAGAATACAAAAATCAAGTAGTTTAAAAACCGTAATTAATTTTAATATGACTGAAAGAGTTGCCACTAAAGTAGTTTTAAAGTGCATTCGCTAATCAGTTTATAATAATGAAGTATAGTGTCCCTTCAGAGCTGGGAAATTATCTTGCTTTGTTTTCCTAAGGAAATGGGAATGGAACATACTAGACAGGTGGTAAATTCACTGCTTTTTTTGATAGTTTTTTTCTCATAGTATTGATTAAATGACTCTGTTTCATTGATATATGCACTGTACCATAAGAATACTGTCTCCCTTCCATCACTGGCCCATAATGTGGTTTGAGTCTGCTTGTTCTGGAGACTTTCATTCCTAGGCAGTTCTTTTCTCTGCAGTTATTCCTTATGAAATAGGAATTGTTACTTTTATATCTGAAAAGCCTAGTTAACTGAATAATCATTTTGTAGTTGCTTTCTTCCTGTGTGGATATTTATAAAAACAATTATGTAATTTCTGCAAACAACAATTCTCCCTGTAAAAGTTCAAAGCATCAGAATGTGTGTTCATATTCAAGATATTTGTCTTAAGCACAGTCCAAAAATCATCAACTGAGGGTAATTTCATCTGCTGGAGTCATACTGGAGACACTGACATACCTGCAGGATAAGGAGCAGTTACATCACTATGGGGGGCAGCAGGCTGAAGTATTATGAAGTAGTAGACAGTTTGCTCTAAACAATTATGTCATTCAGAGGTGATTTATTTCAGGTATTTGCTGTATCAAGTGCTGCAACAAAGCTTTTAAAATTATTATATATAATGCACTTTCAGTAACCAACTTTTAAATTCTTTTCTTGTTTTAGGAAGGAACAACCAAAATTGGAAGAAGTGATTCAGACCAAGATCAAGACATTGGTAAGAGAATGATATTGCAAATTATTTTATGATATGGTGAGGTCAAACCAAGAGATTTATATTTGTCATGTGTAATAGGTAGGTAATGGTTCTGTTTGTCAGCTTTCTTTATAGAAGAAGGTAAGTAAAAGAGAGTAATTGTTGAAGTTGGCTAAAATCTTTCAGTTATTTTTTTGTTTAAGAGGTCAAAAAGTCAATGGTCTTGACCTAATTGAGATCTCTTCAGAATTTCTTCCTACTTGTGAAATGCTACACTAGGGTTTAAAAATACCTTCATCCAACATGTAAATCTTAATATGTTCTATCCTAAACTCGTGGCACAAGTGATCAAGAGACACTGAAAATCCTTTTCACCCCTACTTGGGCAGAGCATTTTTGATATAAAATTCAAATGATTCAGAATATTTTTTATTTCATTTCATTTCTGCTTTTAATTTTAACTGTCAATATCAAGAGCTACAAATTATGATAGAGAGTTGAAACTTTATTCTGAAATCGGAAACTTTGTGGAATCTCAGCTTTGGTTAGTTCTGCTAAGTTTGGCTAAGTTTGACTATTTTCTGCCAGTAAGTTAGTAAAATATAAACAATAAATGACATAATAGCAATAAGAAAATTCAGCATAACAGAATAATTTGCGCACCAGCTCACAAATGAGAAAGTCATGTAGTTTTCCAGAATCAGTAATACTTTAAGAGCGATTTCGCTATTTTCAATCAAGTAAGTTTTTTCTGTGATTGGTACTTAGCTATTAATGAAATAAGACATTTTAATCTCCTTGGTCTGCACATGACGTAGTTCTGAGGTATGAAGTATGCAGTCATAGTGTCAAACAGTGCATGGTATTTAATTCTGAGCAAAATAGTGCAAACCCAGCCCCTTCAACAGGTGAGATAAAACAAATCTCTACGTTGTAGTTTTGCAGGGAAGGTGGATTGAAAGGGATCACTGTATGATAGACAACAACTGTGGGATTGTGACACTGCGACCAGTTCAGGGCGCACACTGCACTGTGAATGGATGTGAAGTCACTGGATCGTGTCGTCTCTCTCAAGGTAAGGCTTGCTTTTTCTGTAAATCCTGCATTATAATCAACTTACTTCTGGAGTTTAGAGACAAGGATTTATGGAACTCATGCAGATGTAAGAAATACATCTCTCAGTCTCCAACCTACCACCACAAGTTTTGATCCATGGCTAGAGCTTCTAGACTGGGACAAATCAATTAAGTACTCCACAGAAAGTAAAACAAAGACATACGTGACAATATTAAGACCCCTTGTGGCAGGAGTTGTCTGTAGCCTTCTGAAAAGAGAAGACTTGTACTCAGAAGCACTACTGTGGAAATTAGTGGAGGCTGGCTCTAAGCCAGCTGACCACTGATGGGGTTTTTTGGCCTTTATGTGATATAGTTGAAATGACCTTCAACTCTTTCACAGTGTGTTTAGGTGGAGGGTCTTGGCCACTGAGTCACAGGCTATGCTGAATAAACTCAGATGAAATGAATCGGGCTCCCATATTTTCAGTTTAAAATAAAAAATAAATTAAAAAATACAATTTCTGGGAACTTGCAGTGATCTGGATTCTTAAAAAGATAGTGTAAAAGCAAGTTTCCAGCAGTGGGTTGGCTGGTTATTAGTATTAGCATGCTGGTCTTTAGTATTAGCAGGGAATGTACTGATATGTTGAGTTTGCAGAGATGTCCAAAGATTAATTTGCTTGAATGCTGTCATTACAGAATGGTAACTCCTCTGTTTCATAGTGTTCCATGGTGGCAAAATTTAAAAGTAGTTTTCTGCTCTGTGATGGTCAGAAAGTTTTTTGGGTTTTGGTTGTTGTTTTTTTTTAACATATTACTCTGTAGTATTTTGTATATGCTGTAGTTTGTATAGTGGAGTTAAGAAACTGCTAACATTCTAGAGACCAACTGTTTGATGAATTATTTCTCTGTAGATTTATAATTAATTTTTGTTCACAGGGGCCCTTGTTGTCCTTGGCAAGTCTCATAAGTTTAGATTCAATCATCCGGCAGAAGCTGCTATCTTAAGACAAAGAAGATCAGTAAGTTCTAAAACTGTATTTTTCTCTCCTAATTCTTCATTGATTTTCCTAATTATATTCCCTCTTAAAAGCTCACCTGATACAGATAATGCTTCTTCTCATCATTGTATTCGCTTGCTTCATTTCCTCTATCTAATGGTCTGTAATGACACTAAACGTTTTGTGGGAGGACACTAGCGCTTCTTTCAGATGTGCTTAGCAAAAGATGATGCAGATCCCTTGAATAATTTAGTGTTTCCTATTTCTAGTCATGACTACAGTAGGATTGAAACAGAAAGGCAGAATGCTGCAGCGAAAATATCAGTTAAGAATCTTTCCGCATTTGATAGTTTTCTGACTTCTTTCTCTGCCATTTCACCGTCCCAAATGAGGTATACTAGAAGAAATGGAAAATTTTGGGGATTAAGTGCTTGAGTATTGTTGACTCTGAAAGCACTTACTTGTTACATACATCAGAAATAGATAAAGTATTTCTTGGTATGTTAATCTCGGGAACAAACTACCGCAAGATACTATGCAGTCTCTGCCCAGGGCAGCGCTTGAGGCACCATCCCTGGAGGTATTAAAAAGATGGGCAGACACAGTGCTTAGAGACATGGTTTAGTGATGGTTTTTGTCAGTGTTAGGTTGACAGTTGGACTGGATGATCTCAAAGATCCCTTCCAACCTAGACAATTCTACGATTCTGTGATTCAATAATGTTTAAAAAAAGTTACATAATTCTTAAAATGACTGGGATATATAACTAAAAAACCTAACTATAAGAATGTAAATTTTCTGGTTTAGGACATAACCATATTACCAAGTGATATGGGCAAGAATCTACCATTTAAAATGGATTTTCATATAATAATATTTTATACTTTCTGCTCAACTGTCCTTTTGTACTCACTTCTGTATTTGAGATAAGGGGCTTCCATTTGTTTTCATTCTTAATTTGTTCATTAATGAAACATGTGGTACATTGAAACAGAGCTACAAGAAGAGGCATACTCAGTAACAAACACTTCACAATTTTGCAAATTATCAAAGGCTAAGCAGAACTGGAAGTGAGATTATAAACTCACATGGGAGGTATTATGCAGCATTAGAGAGCAGCAGTACACAGTACTTAGCCATGGTGGTATTAATGATAACTTGGAAGATCCTGGATTACTGTGATACTTTTTCTTGCTATTCTCGCATTATGTGTTTTGTAGATTAATGAAACCCCACCCATTCTGAGTTGTGGAGCTTTGGACTGGCTCAACTTGGATGGAAGTTGCACCCATTCTTCTCACTATGTCCTTTCTTCTCTTGACTAGTAAGTTAAAACAAAGAAGCAAACAAACAATTTCTCACGTGGGATGATGTTTGAAACCAGGACTTAGTTCAGACAAAACTAAGTTGTATGTAGAACTGTGTTTTCAAGTGATCAAATAAAAGTGCCCAAGAAAATGCATTGGCCAACTGACTAATTTACAGTGTTATGATACCCAAGAAACAAATCTGAAAAATTATTTCTTGATGCAGAATGAGTATTGATGCACAGTCAAGAAAATGCCCTGGATGAGACTGTCAACAGCCTTAATTCAGTTCACTTGCACATCTGCATTATAGCTATTTTGATTTATGAGGAAATGTGTAATTTTTACAATATTCTTCAGTGCACAGAATGGACTTTTCTAGATACGATCTAACCAAGGTAATTATTACCAGTTCAGATTCCCTGCTAATTCCTTGTGGAAATCAGAAGGTTTGTTTGTTCAGAAATTGCCATTAGTTCAAGTCCTCATTGAGCCGTTCATCTCTGAAAGCCATTGTGTTTCTCTTTTCTTTTTTTTTTTTAAACTGAGCAGTAAATTAGGCATAAACTGCTTCCCAAATGCTGAAGAGCTGCTCATACTCACAGTGTCTAGTGTATGCTTTTCATGGCATAGCCTTTCTGTAAGGGAAAGGATTGGCGTGATGATGACAGTGATTAATACATATCAGGAAAATGAGTTAAGATATCTCCTGTGTTTCAGTTCATAACATTGAAAACAGAGTATCACAGAATTAAATGTAATTGGGTTCTTTCTCTTTTTTTAATTCCTCTCAGCCTGGCACATTCAATTGACCTGTTTAAGGCAAGAAACAGCCATCTTCTCATTCATATCTGTTGATAGTTCTGCTTCTTGCTAGAGCGTTTTTGGTATGGTAACATACTGGGAACCTTTTATCTCTTTCTAGAGGAGGTACCTCATCTTGTTTTTATGAGCATAAAAAGTTATCTCTGTTTTGAACATCTCTTCATACCTCTAGTTGAGTGGCTTGCTTTCCACCTTGGATAGTGTGTTTCTATGTGTTCTCTTTAATGTATCTAATCTCTGCATTTGCTTTTCATTTGCTGCAGTGATACCCTTCTGTACAGAACAGTATTTTATTTTGTTTCTTTACTGAGGTACATTTTACACATCACTGCTGTTCTTTTCTTTGTAAAAATTACAAAGAATTTTAAAAAAAGGGTTTGTCTAATGACCTTCAAAAGTAGATGCCAAGTTGCACTTTTCACGGGTATAAACATCAGAGGTGGGGGTTTTGTCGCAGAAATTTGTTGGTGCTAGAAAAACCTCCAGAAGTTTTATGAACAGTTTAGCACAGAATTGCACTTGGTTTTCCCCTTTTTAACTTGACAAAGCTGAAGAACAGTTTTGATGGATTTTTGTTCAGACCGTGATCAGATAGCAGATTTGTTTGTGTTGATCAATTTTTTAATCACTTGGACAGGACTATGCGTATTACGTTGCTTAACATTATCCTCATACTTACCTAGAGCGTTTCAAATTGTTACTTCAGTGAAAATGAAAAGCATTATGGTACTACATTTGCTTGATTTTTATGAATGTCCATCTCTTACAGGAATAAGCTATAAATTATGTCTAATATTAGATGTCTTTCACCTTAGATAGTCCAGTAGTCTTTTTTTCCTCTTGGTTGGTTTTTTGGCAAAGGTAAACTGAATTGATCCACTCAGCCTTCCTTTATGGTAACCAGTAAGCCTGTATTTCTGTCCAGGCAAGTAGTTTTACTCATGGAGGGGGTTATAATTGAGACATCTAGCCTAAGATCTGTAATATGAAAATAAAATGAGACATATGTCATCTCTCAAATGTCCAGTTTTCCTGAAGAAAAGTTGACGTCAAGTACTAAAAGGTGTCTGAGTTATTTTGCAAACAGTAATACAGGACTAAGTGGGCTACAGGAAGTGCTCATTGGTCATCAGTAAAAAGTCCACCCAGTGCAGGGTCTTGTCTCTGTCAGAAAGAGATGCTTAGAGGAAAAGATAAGAACAGGAAAGCTGTGTGTGTGCGTCCCTCACTCCCTCTCGCTCCCTTCTCACTTGATAGTTCTTGATGCTCTCCTAGCTGCTAGCAATCTGCATCTTAGAGTCTTCCTCTACTGAAAATTACAATAACATCTCTGTGTATAGTAGGCTGCAATGAAGTTTTTTTGCTTTCTTTTTGAACATCTTTATGATTTCCTATTTTTATTTTTACAGTCAAAAATGCAGAAACTGTAAAGAAAACAAACGTTCTACTGAACTAAGGTAAGAATATTAATGTGTCTAAATCACGCTGAATTTTTTTGGTCCCTCTAGCTTTGTCTGTGTTCTACACTACACTAATTTGCTACACTAATTTCCTCTGGAAGAGGTGCAAACTAGGCTTCTAGCTTTAATTTGATTTTATCATATTGAAACAAGAATGTGTACATGCAGCTGAGTTACACGCAACTCTCTGCAACCATGTTCTTTCTTCATACTCAGTGTTGTGCAAATGGTTTGCAGCTTTGTTGCCTGTGTAAGCTTTAAGCCATGTTTGGAGTGGGGTTTACGCTGAAGCTGCTCCAATTTACAATATATAAGAACCCTAAAATGTGCTAAATTTGATGTCTGTAGTAGGTACTGTGAATACTTATGACCTGTCTTGAAAAATCCTTGGACAAGTTTGGTTCTCTTCTGGTGAGAAGAAAATGGCTTTATGGAAGAGTCCAAAAAAGAAGTTCTAGCATAGAGTGTGGTTCATTCACACAGAGAAGCACAGCAGCTGCACACAAAAAGAATTCAGAAATTGTTGGGCTTCCATGAGTTTAAGTACTCTTTAATCAGGAACTGATGGTACTTTGCTTTCTTCTGGATTTTTTATTTCAGAACATATATTATGATAATGATTACTTACAGCCTTATCTCGCGTGCTCTCAGTAAGATGACATTTTTCCCATCTGCTTTTTCATGGGTTGAATTACCAGTTCAACCTCTAACTGTATGTTAAAATATTTTGAGAAATGAGACAAAACCCAAATTTCTACCATTGAACTCAAATACTAAAATTTTAGTCATAAAACGTTCCCTGAAACGGGGTGTGTTTCATTATACTCAGCTGCTTGCTCGTACACCCTACTCAGAAGAGCCCCAGGACTTCAAACTTCTGGTGTTTGTTCTCAGCCAGCAAATACACAGAAGGCATGTGACTGGCATCAGCCATCATATGATAGCATCACCACAAATAAGTAGATAATTACATTCTTGCTCCTGTCACTGCCTTAATACCATACTGCACATAAATATAAACCCTGATTTTATTCTTTTGCTAGTTTGAAAAAAAACAGGAGTTGTTCCATTAGAGTCCAGTGGTATAGCAGTACACTGAATTAATTTTAGCTGCTTGAATCATGCTTAAGCTCTCTTTCCTTGAAAGTACTAGCATTGTTAAACTGGAGAAAAAATAAGTAATCTCATAAGAATGTGTGAAATCCTACTGAACTGGAAACAGTGCCTGTAGATACGGCATCTGATGCTGGAGAACACAACACAAATATTATTCTAGTGTGGTATAGTTAACGTGTCCAACTAATATTTGTAAAAATGATACTCTGAGTATCTTACTTACTACTTACTAGCTTACTAACAGCTTTCCTTTTCAAAGTGCTCTACAAATGCAAGTTAAAGAAATATTTTGCATCTCTTAAAAGATCCCTCAAATATTTCCTTTCATTTCACAGAGAAATGCAGTGCCAATTACAGCAGCTCTACAACATAGAGCAGAATCATGTATAGTGGGGTTAGCAAGGGAACTAACAGGTTCTATATATAACTGAAATCGTCGTAAGGGGAAAACCTGTGATAGATTGTAGTTCCAGCTGAACTGGAATTTAGCAAGGCAGCACTGACCTTTACTGGAGTGTGTGGCTGTGTCTTGTGCCTGTGACTCCTTGCCAAAAAGAGGTCTGTTTTAGAAGCATATTTAAAGAGTTGCCTTAAGTAAGTCATTGCCTTACTGTTGTTTTGGGGGCTTAGGCAAACAAAAAAATGAGGTTTTACATGGAAAGGCTTAAAAAAAAATGCACAGGTGTGCTTTGTCTGTAAGCAAACCAGCTGATCAGAAATCCAAATGATACTTCACCTGATGGTAACTTCTGCGACGGGGATTACTCTGTGTGTACATGTCCAAAGGTCTCTTATTTCTAAAGGTTTCTCACTCGGCTGGCTGTTTGGAGTGATTTCTGGTTCAGGAGGAGGTGTCCCCGTGTCTCCTTCATCCCTCTCCCCTTTGCTTTAGGGAGGAGAAGGCAGAGGTCTGAGCCTCTGTGGTGGGCAGAAGCAGATGCAGGATCCCGCTCAGCTGCGTGATGCTCTGAGGCCCTGAGGGAAGGGCCACGGATTGGACACGGATGGAGGGGGAGGATGGAGCTGGGAGGGGGGATGTATATCACTGGATAGGCTTGTAACCCTGACTGCTGATTTCTCTCAGGGCTGGGATTTGCAAGGGCACAAAGTGCCTTGCCAACATCTTTTTTATTTTTTTTTTTGTCCTGCTTTGTTATTAACTCTTCTGGAAAAAATAATTTGTGGAAGAAAAAATGGGACTTGAACACTAGGCAGACAGAAGGATGGGATTACTAACTTGACTGATGTTTTCCTGGGGAAAATTGGCAAATTTCAGCTTTTAGCAGCAGTGGTTATTTTCACTTGAGTTTCTCTATTTGAGCCTTAAGATTTTATTGCAGAAGGGATTCAGCCTCACCACAGAGCTATTGCTGCCATAGTTACTGAAAACTGCATTATGCTGTAGCCGCCGCCAGCTTCTGCATCAGCAGTAGAAGTGTTTGGGGAAGAGGGGAGGAGAATTGCACAATAGGATCCCGGAGCGCTGACGACAAAACAGGCTGGAAAAAATGTGGATTTGCAGATGGTTCATTTAGCATGCGTCATGCAAACTTTGTGGAGAGAAAAATGAGGTGAAAAAAGAAGCCGGCAGTGTTGGTATATGAAAATTTTCTCAGTAATTTGTGATTATCTTTAGTTTAAGGTTAATGTCTTTCTGTTGTTGTAATTTTTTTTTTTACTGTCTTTAAAGGTTTACTTGGAGGAGGGGTAACTGTTGACACTTCTTGCTGCATTTGATACACCTAGAAATCTGCATGCTTTTGTGAAATTCCGTGCAGGGTTGCTTTTTTTTATGTGCTGTATGCCAGTCCTGTGAAACCAACATTTTATGTATGTCTTGATACCTGCAGAAATCAAGCTGTTTGTCTTAACGTTTGTCCTGAGGTTATATTATTTCCTGCTAGACCTGTGCCGAGTGTGGATTGCTGATGTGGGAAGGCAGGGATACGGGCAATAGCAGAAATTGGTCTGTGCTTGATTCCTGTATCTCATTGTATTCCTGTATTTCAGGTCTAAATTTAATAGTACATCTGATTGAAGATGTTTTAGATGAAAGAAATTAGTGATCTTGTTACAGAATACATCTAAATTCTGGATTTATATTTGTTTTTAGTTTAATCATTCAAACACGTATTAGAGAAACTGATTGTTCTTTAAATTGTCTATTGGGTGATTTAGCTATGAAGTAGTGGGAATTTTTCTGAGCCATTGTCACCTCATTTCTTAGTTTAGTTTGTCATGCTATTTCCACAAACCAGCAAGAGTGTGTTGACGTGACATAGCATGTTTGAAGTAGAAAGGGAGCATTCTTACTTCATGTTTCAGCAGTTTCTGTGAGCGACAGATCTGTATCCCAAGCCCAGAGCAGCCTGTCATTTTGCTCTTTACAGTCAGTGGTCTCACAGCCAGAGGAAAAACATCTTCTGGCGTTACCTGTGTTATGTAAGTGGCTCTGCATGAATTTTCATTCCCTTTTTGTTCCGCTTGAGAAAACCATCTTTAAGAAGCAACTTCATAAAAAGGCGTTTAATGTTCAGTCTCTGTATTCAGACCTGTCTCTACTGCCCTGTCAGGTTTTTGTTTTGTACTATTAAAAATTGGGAGACGAAGCAAAGAGGCACTGAAATAGGAGCAGAACTGCAATTCATATATATACCTTCAGCAATAATATTTTATTACAGTAACTTTAACCTGGGGGAAAATTGTACCAACTAGCTACGTCACCACAACAAAAGCAGTAACAATACTGTGGCAGTTTCTGTGCTGTGTTTGTTTTTCCAACATTTAAAGTGAAGTATGGGTTTGCCTCTGTAGTCTGCCTTTTTGGGGTGTAGTCCTAGTATGGAGCTGTGATTAATAATGTGAGTTTGTCCTCCTTCGTGTTCTGCTCTGTGTGCAAACACACGTGCCTGTTGGAAAGGACCTTATATTTTCATGTTAGTTCAGCAAAAAGCCATTACCACGTACACGAGGGAATACACTAGTGCTGCTGAGAACAGCAAACAGCACGCTTCCATGTGCATTGTTTGCATTGCTTAAGCTCTGATACTTTATGATATGGGGGAGGGTGGGGTGTCCTGTGGTGTTAACGTTGTTGGAAATTATGGGAAGAGCTTGTGACCCTCTCCCAGCTGTAAACAGATGTTACCTAACCACCTCTGCGAGCATTGTGAGGTCTTTGGATTGAAATGCAATGCTGAGTTGTTTCATATTCTTAAATGTTCTGGGTTTCAATTTGTAAACAGTTTTAACTCTGGATAGGTCAATTTTATGGAAAGGATGGCTGAAGTCATGGTTAGGAAGAATACGAGACATTTTGTTAGAGGAATTTTATTTTATCTAGTTTTAGGAAACAGTTGCAGAACAAGAATTCTTGGTCTACTGTTTTACTCTCATGCTCTGCTTTTCAGCCTTATTGGCAATGGTTTACTCAATCTCACAGAATGGTGCAAATAATGATAAATGTATAGAAATCAGCTCTCTTGCTACTTTGCTTTCTGATATTTTACAATGTTAATGGATCCTCAGCAGTCCTCTTGGATGAAGGTACTTTGCTTCTTTCACACGTCTCAGACTAAGTGACTTGCCCAAGGTCATGCGATTGTCTGGTAACAAATTTAAACTCACATTTTTCAACTTCCATACCACTGTAGGAATCAGAGCTTTTGTATATCTGTTGGTAAAACAGGTTAAAGACTGCTCCATCATCAGAGTATGTGCAGAGAACATTTATAATTACCATGAGGGTTTTGATGTATCAGCAAGTGGAGGCTCCAGCTGACATCAAGGCTCTGTTAGGTTTAGTGCATCGGCATCCAGAGGCAGTCCTTGCCCTGAAGTAGCCTAAGTACATGGAACCACAACTGCTTCAAAATCAGAGGTTTTGTCTCAGATCAGTAATTTAACCTCCAGGTTATATCGCTGCTCCGTTACATTTCCCTTGGAAAATATGGAAGGTAACCTGGAAGATGCATTCAGGGGAAGCGTCCCTCAGAGTTATCATTAAAACTACGGGAGCTTTTCCTAAATGAGATCCTTCAGATTTAATATGATGTTAGAAAAGTGGTTCTTCCGTAGTTAACCAGCCTAGCTTTAACCTCTGAGTTTCTCCCCTGGTAGCTGGTGACATTGCAAATACCTGAACAGCTGGAGGTTTGTGATGGCCATACCAGCATTTTGGTGCTGCGGTGAAGTGTCAGTTCAAACCCACTGCAGCTGAATCAGAAATGAGGCATCCCGCTCCTGTTTCCTGGGGATCAATTAAAGTTTGTCTTAGAGGAAAAAAATTACAAATCACAGGTTATTCGCATCTTTGTAGTCAAGCCAAGGACAAATAGATCTTGGAGCTGCCTATTCTTGTAGTTTGTTCCTGTGGGTCCCAAACAGACACAAACCATTTAGCAAATGACAGCAGCAAAGTTTGTAGTCTGGCTGTTTGCACCATGCCAGGCAATTGAACAGAAGATGCTCCTTTTCAGTTATTCTCACCAGCATTACATTCGCATAAACATTAAAAACAAACTGAATTCTGTTTTCCTTAGGTGAATGAAAGAGAGTCACAGTAATATTGTAATTTATTGAGAATCTTAAGGCTTTTATGTAGTGAGGCTTTCCCACTGCTTCTTAAGGAAGTGAAATATATGTTCCATGTAAAGGTACTCTAGAAGATTTGTAGACTTTGCCTGCTTGATTTTTTCATCTGTTTTGGCTGCTGATCTAGCACACGGAATTGAAGTTGTTGCTGTAGAAATGGTAGATTTGAACATTCTTGAAGTTCTAAAGAGAGATGTCAAATGTTCTTGTCATACAGGTGACCTTGCATTGGTAATGATTTTTCAAACAACATGGATGTTTCCAAAGCATTCTCTTTGAAATTATTTTTTTGTTTTCTTTTGACCTTCAGGGACTTTTTAGACTTTTGATACATTTTCAATTTAAAATTATAATAAATACATCATATACTTCATTAGTAAGATATATTAAAAAAATTTTCAAGACTTAAAGGTTTAATTTTCTGAGGTTACATAGGATAATGTGGTGTTTAGACACAAAAAACAGCCAAAGATCATATATAACCTTTATATATAATATAACTTTAACAGTAAGAAGTTCCGATGATAATTTGTGGACAGGCAGAATACATATATATTCCTTTCAGAGGGTTAATGTATTTTGAATATTATCATGAATCACGCTAAGAATAGATGGTCTTTTGATTGTTACTCTGGATGTGTGTAAAGTTTTGCCACACAGTCAGGAACCAAATATCTTGGAGGGGGCTGTAAGGCAGTTTTTCACAGGTTAGTCACTTTTCTGATTGCAATTCTGCTCCAAATATAGAAGCAGTAACCTAATATAGTTGTTGCATCCAGCAGAGAATTGGGTGATCAAGTTCTTCCCTTGGTACTGCCAGAGAACTGTCAGTGTAATCTCAACAATGCCTGTAACCCTTTCTAGGTTGGAGAATTTTTATCTGAAAACAGAGAAGAATGTTTGTCAGTTCTCTAAAGCGCTTTGCTTTAGTACTCAGATGACAAATATCCTATATAGTGGTTATAAAATTTTAGAACATATAAATAACCCCCCTCCCCAATTTCATTTTTGGAAGATCTACAGCAAAATGAAAAGTTAATTTTTTTTTTAAATTCTTTTTTGCTATTTTCTTTCTGGTGATGGAATTTTCTGCTTCACCACAAGAGCTTCCATGCTTGCTGTCATTTATGATATTTACAGGATTGTAGCCTGCTGTGACATACATATACACAACTACTTTACCATCATGAGTTTTAGGCATAATGCACTGTTATTGGACAAAACAAGATCTTGAATGTTGTCTGTCTTTAGTAAGATGACTTGTTTTATTATGAATGTTTGGTATTCATTTCTGGTTTAAATTCACTGTCAACATTTCTAATAGCAGAGAAATAGATGCTGTCCATGAAGAGTACAAGCAGAAACTGAGAGACCAGGAAGTTTTCCACAGAAAACAAATTCAACGGCAGCATATCTACGTTGAGGACTTAAAGCAGCAGATCCTGAGAGGACAGATCAGAGCAGAGCAGGAACTAGAAAATGACCAAGCACTGATCAACCAGCAGATCCAAGAAAGTGAGTACCAGCCTTATTTCCTCTCTCTTTTTTCCTTCCATTATTGCGCTTTCATCCCCTTGATGTTTTGTCCTAGTTATGCTTTATGTTATGAGTGAAATTTTTATTATGGCTTATCACAAGTTTTCTCTTAAAATTGCCTTTCCCTTGAGAACAGTTATTAAACTTTGATTAAAGGGCTTCCTTCGCCGTGACCCAGCAGTATTGTTTAATCAGCTCCGCAGGTCACTGCTGAGAGACAGCACCAGCACAGCTACTCCCCTGGGGCACTGAGCCTCTTGTCTCCCAAGCTGCTGCCCGTCCTCTCTCCCTGCAGCTTTCTCTGTTCGTGTCTGTGGTGCAACCCTGCTGGGTTGCAAGGTAGACCATGTCTGCTATTTGTGTTTTAAGCTTTTCTTGTGACATACCTATGCTTCATCCAATGAGTTGTTCTGGGAGACTGGAACTGAAATGACTGTGGTAGTTCCTACCATTAGCTTTCAGGGGAAACTGCTCTAACAATAACCAAGCAGCACTTCCAAGACAGCGATGTGTGTTGGTTGAGGTACTCCCTTTATGCATTTCATTGATGATGTCATCTGTAACAATAGAGACTGTTTTTACATGCTTCTAATGAATTTCACTCATTAGGAAAAATAGGGCCGTGGCATAAGACCTCAGCTCAAACTGAATTTTCTGTGGTTGCTATGTCTGTTTTAAACAATAAAAATAAGGAAAACACATCTGAGTATCAGTTGGGACACTAAAGTTCAAAGCTAAAATCCCAGCCTCAGTTAAGGGAGAGAGTTTCACTGACTTTTATATAGTCAGCATTTCCAACACCCTTGCCCTTTTATAGTATGAAGAAAAATGTGGGGAGACAGTCTGTGGTAGAAACTGAAGCGCGGCAAACTAATATTGAAAATAAGCTGTGGGTTTTATTAACCCTAAAGATGTTTAATTAGTGTTATTGCATTTTTCAGTGCTGAATTTGTTTTAGACCAAATCTGGATTTAAAGAAGAGAGGCATGGTTTGGTTAAAATAGGAGTTATTTCTAGGAAGTTCTAAGGTGTTATGCAAGAATATTAAAGGGTCAGTGATCAGATTTTGACCGGCAAATAGCTATGACAGAAGGTAAAGCCATGGCATATTTGGAGAGGTATTTTTTAGTGTCAGTGACTCTTGGCCCCCAGAGGTGCTGCTTTGTAGGTGGGGAGACATATTCAGCAAGAGAAGTTGGTGGAGTTGGGCTGCCCTTTAACAAGTTTATAGACTGAGTTGGGAACATTTTAAACCTTGAGAAGTTTTTGACCACTAAAATTGGATGGTTATAGTGTTCTGTAGTTTTTCTTCTAACGAATTATTTCATCCAGGTTTCTTGATAAGCAAAGTACACCTATTACAAAGGCACCATTCCCAGTTGGCAAAACCTGCTATTGGGTCCTGGAAGAAAATTTCTGTGTACTTTTGGAAGCTTCTCAGACCCAAACTTCTGCAGTCTGCTCTCTTTTAATTATGCAAGCCACAATGAAGAGGTTAAGGGGAAATTGAGGTGATGGGATGTAGTAGAAATGAACTTAGAATATGTAGATAGTACAAGAGAGGAGAGTTCCTCCAAAATATCTTCATTTTGTGGCTCTGTAGACTGCTCTGCTTCCATCTAGTTCTGCTGGTTTTGCTGTGTTCACACAAATCTTTGCCAGGCAGGGAGTTTTTGCCAGGCAAAAAAAATTCTGCACTTGGCAACCCACCAAAGTTCTCCACCTTTTCTGTGCCCTCTGTGTCTCAGCTCCTGACAGAGGCAAGTTTATGAGCAGAGATTAATTAGCATCTTAGAACTTGCAGCTCTGTTGCAGGGAAACTCTTATCTGTCAACTGTTCTACTCACTAGAAACCTGCTGAAGAGGACAGATCTGGAAATAAAGAGTTGAGAAAAAAGCTTTGTATGTGAAAGCTACAGATGTTATTAAGAAAAATAACTTAAATAATGACTGAAATGCTTCCCTTTTATCCCTAGAGTAACGATCGATTTAGAATTCCTACTTTTGTGCACGTGCTGTGTGCAGAGCTGCCAACATAAACAGGACAGGAGATTCATTGTGGTAGGATTCACTAATGAAGTATGCTTAACAAGATCAGTAGTCATCAAGCAAGTGATGCTGACAATGCCTGTGCACTGATCATTTCTTACATTAGGGAAACTTCTGCAGCCCAGAATTCCTCTCTTGCCACTCAGCTGTGCAGAGCTGCAGGTAGCCCTTATTCATCACATTGGACTTAAATACCTCTTAATTCCTAACCCCCTGAATAAGCATTGAAAGGCTGCTTATTCAGTAAAGCACTGCAGACTGAAGGTATGTCCAGCCAAAAAAGTGTTACTGCTTTTAAGATATAAGTGCTTTGAAAAGCTTTGGTCCTTTGAGAAATGATCTACTTCTCAAGGAACCTTGCCTGTGATTTTGACATTGCTTTTCCAGCTGAGGATATTTTTTTTGTTTGCTTTGTACAGCTGAATATGTGTATTTCTATAGCAGCATAAAAATGAACAAACTCTGCTTCATTAAGAGACCACATCCAAGCCATCAGGCACAATCTGGCAGTGGTGATCTCAGTAATCCCTTCTTTTGATCGTTACAGTTCACCATAGCTCAGATTGAAGCCAGTGCACTCTGAAAAACCTCTAAGCACATACCCTGCGTGGAATAAAGTAGTCTTGCATCTAGGGTTAAAAATAAATCAACCTGGTATTCTGTGTTCTCTACTGCTTCCCCATTGGCTGCAAAGATCAGGCTCTGAATACTTAGAGAAGACTAAGTTTGTAAGCAGAGGTAACATATTTTATTATCAAATTAGGTTAGTCAGTTGATTTGTGAGCATACTTAGCATTTATGAAATATGGGGGACATTAACAAAAGCAGAGAAGCTGACTCTCTCTGAAGTGGTGATTTTAATGAAAAGTACTCATCAACTGGTGGTATGAGCTTGTCTCTTTTGAATTATGTTTGTCCTGCTAACTAAAGGTTGTGTTGGACCTGCGTCCTTGCTGTGAGAGTATTTGATTCATTTCAAGTACATCATATGCTGAAGTGTTTCTGTACAAGATATCTGGGCTCCCATCAGGCTGTTCTGGCAAGTACTTGTTGAAGCAGCCGTAGTTGCAACAGGTAGTAAAATTTGTGGGGTTTGCTATACCTCTGCCAGGTGCCACACAGGGTGGTGTTACTTGGGAAGTTTCCATCTGATGGGCTTAGAGAGGCTGGAAGAACTGTCTGGCGGGTTCCTATACGGTGGCTTCCTTATAGCCTTGTCTTCAACCCACTTTGAAGGTTGCACGCCTGCAGGACTGGTAGCTGGCATTTGCCCCTGCAAATGAGATGCATCCCAAGTGGGGCATAGAGAGGTCTAGCCTTCAGGCTTGCAGAACTTGCCACCTATGAAGGCAAGCAGAAAAACTGCCATTTCCTGTGTTAAAGTTCCTTAGCATGAGTCCTTCTCCCTCATTTTCAGCATTCCTGGGTAAGTGAGAGAAACTAGCGTGCAGGTGGTTTTTCTTGGTTCAGTCAAGTTAAGGAGGAAAGGACAGGAACAAAAGGCACAAAGATAAATATTTATTTTAGAATAGTTGTAAAGCACTCAAATGCTGTGGTGAGAAGTGTATAATGCTTCAAGATTGCACAAGTGCTTATTTTTTCACTCAAAATGTAGGATTTCATTAGCTAAAGGCTGATTAATGTGTGCATGAAATTCTGTGTATTACATTAACACAGAGGCTCTGTTCAGCTCTGTGCAACTTCCTCTTCTAGTTCCCTTGTTAACTGCTCTCTGTGCACACACATTCATTCCCTAAGTAACATAGGTAAAGTTTAATGTGTAATTTCAGAATAATTAAAGCAGAAGTAGTAGCATATTTCACAGTCAAAAGCTAATGAAATTGTACTTGGCTACTGTGAATACATACCCTATGTCTTAAAAGTCCACTAATTGAACTTGAGCCTTTTAGTGCTTCCACTGTATTTTATCAAGAAGATTGAGGTGATGTTTGAGTGTAATCTTGGAGAAATTGAAATGTGTTCTTTTAGCTTACAAACAAGGTCTTGTCCACCAGCCTCTTCAGCTGTATCAGTCAAGCCTCTGCTTATATCTTGCAGTTGTTACCTGAGTCCTAATCCCAATGGAGAGGCTTTAGGTTATCAATAAAGTGCAGCAATGATACATTTTTCTCTAAATGGTTTGTCAGGCTCTGCTCTACATGCATAGAAATTCTGTTCTTAAGTGAACTCTCAAGGCTGATTAAATTAAGAAACAAGATAGTGAAGAGCAATGTTTTTCCTATGTTTTTACTTTCTTTCAATCTTTGTTTTGTTTACAGACCAGCAGTGGCTTATAAATGAGAATAAACGACTGGCTGCCCTTCAGCAACAGCAGAGGGAGTTTGCAGTGCAGACAGAGTCCAGGTTGTATGCAGAGGCTGAGGTGCAGAGTGCCATCGGGCTGGAAATCTGCCCTTCCCTACTACAGCAGAACAAGAAGAGGTTGGTGCAGCTGGAGCTCTTGCGAAGATACTCCTTAAAAAAGGCAGAAAGAAACATACGAAGGAAAAAGGTAAAATTCCAGCTGGAAAGGATAGTCAAGAAGCAGAAGTTATTGGAAGCCAAGCAAAACCTAGAGCAGCTGGAAGCTAGCTGCTGGCTCAATGAAGAGTGTGTGAAACAAGCCCAAATCCTAAACGAAAATACTGCTGTACGGTCCTCTTCAGACCACCACTTGCAAAAGAGAAGGAAGTCATTGGGTTCCAGTTCCTTGCAGCAGAGGCAGGATTCATTCTGTAACCCACATCTGCCCCAGGTACCCAGGTAAGATAACATCTGCCAATTCCTCTGCCTTTTCAAAAGTAATTTAAATTCAAGGCATTTTCAGTGGCCATCTATAATCCAGAATGCCTCCCAATGTACTAAAACAATCCCAAAATTTGCAATATCAGTGAATTTACTGTATTGTATCTCACACTGGAGCTCTTTGTCCTTTTTCCTAGGATTTGTACAGTGCATTCCCTGCTTAGCTCTTTGATGTGGTCTTTCACACTGATTTTTTTTACATTTGTCTTTCAAGCCTTTCTGCACTTTTTACCTTTTTGTGAATGCTTTCCAGAACTGGCTTAACTCTTGTTCTTACCTTGTTCAAACTCTTGGTAAATACTAATTTCTGTGTAATTTTATCTTGATAGGGTCAGACTCTTCCTTCAGAATATTTGTATGATTGGAGTGATTCTGGATTCTACTTTAATCCGGCCTTTCTCAAGCTAAATAAGCATCTCTAGGCAATGCTAAAAAGTTGGGGTGCTAGGGAGTCTGTCATGGTCCCGGAGGCAGCAAGTAGCTAAACCCTGCTAAGCAGAGTTCTGTGACTTAGAGCCATCCTTTATTTTTAACTAATATTTGCAGCTACTTCAGCTTAGCGACTGAATACCAAGCTATAGCACATAGCATCGAGCTGTTTCAGGATATCCAGGGGACTGTATGATTACTGACAGAATTATTATTTTTTACTTATTTATTCTCTGCTCAAATTTGCTTTTGAAAGGCATGAAAATTGTTGCTTTGTTTCTTCTTTATTTCCACAGCTTTTTGTTGAAGAGGGAGACTGTCGCAAAGTTATCTACCTCACCAAATACTGATCAATGCTGTGAAGGCAATACAACAGGGACGTTGTCATCTGAAGACTATCTTTACAGAAGAGGTAAAGACGTTTCTGAGAGTGATGACCTTAATGATGAAGAAGGGATCTCCTTTTCAGTCCGGAGGCAGCTAACTGAAAAACAAAAACCATCTTCATTTGGAAATAAAAAAGGAGCAGAAAAAGATTCTAATGATTCAGCTATCATGGCTTATATCAATAAAAACGATCAGAACATTGAAAAGTTGGATGACAACCCAGGGCAAGCTGGATCTCAAAAACAGACCTCTAAAGGCTCCCCTCCTGATCTTTCTAAGGAGAAAGAGGAGCCTGAAACCTTTATTACAGGGACAAGAATGACAAAAGCAAAGGTGCTAGGAAATTTAAATCAGCCTGCAAGTAGCAATCTAGAAAAAAATAGAGCTCAGGTATCCAATAAAAAGACTAGAATTGATATCAATGGAAAAGGCCACAGGTCTTCTCCAGAAAACTTTCCTAAAGAAATGAAGAAAACAGTGTATGGAAACCCACCATCAGCGCATCTAAACCAAACAGCCAAGAACTGGAAAAGAGAGCCCAACTCAGCCTTGCCAAGTCATGAGACATCATCAGGGGAACAGCAAGAATTTCTGATGGTGGCAACATCAGTAGGAAATCTCTCTAAGATCAACACACATGCACCACTCTCTTACGTTGAAAAAAAGTGGCACAGTGCAGAGTTGCTAAGTTCTGGCGTGTCCAAAACCACCACAGATATGCTGGGGAACTGGCAAGAGGATGATGAAAATGAGATTTCTGATACTGATAGTTGCTATTCTGTAGATTCTCTCTCCTGTGCTTATGCAAAAGGTTTCACAGAGAAACTGAAACAAGAAGATTTTGACAGAAATAAATGTCTTGCCAAACCAGAAGATTCTGAGAGTGATGACAGTCAAATGTCACAAGACTCTCTGGTAGAAAAGGAAAATAAAGGCAAAAAGCAAAATAAAAGCCAGTCTCACAAGTCAAAGGCCCACCATGAGCCAGCTAAGCTTTACAAAAGCAGAACTGATCACCATATTTCATCTTCGGTGACATCATATGCATCTCATATGAGGCTGGGAAAGCCTGAAAGAAGCTTCTCTCTGGACAGCTTAGCTGATGGAGAAGAGATGCCAGCAGAAGATCCAGTAGAAGAATCCAAATCTGATTCATCTGATGAAGTGCCGGCAGAGATTTTCTGGAAGTTACAAACTCCTAGATCACTGACTATACAAGCTGAGGAAGACCATGAGTCCAAGACCTGCAACAGAGATACAGAAGAGACAAATTATGACCTCAAGCTGAGCAGTTCCTTTTATTTGGAGACTAAACCACAGCCTGCTTCCAGTAATGCCTGCAGGCAATTGCTGAAGGGGACAAAAGTCTCCTTTGTAGAACAAGAAAGGTCTCTTGACGGAAGACTGTATTATGCAAGTGGAAATCCTTTGCTTACTAGTGATGCTTGGTCTTCCTGTGACTCAAAGGTTGACATCAGTAGCCCCAGAATAAGAGCACCTCCTTCCCATGAAAATCTGGAATTTCAAGAAGCTCATCTGGGCTCTTTGAGCAAACCAAAGCTTTGGCTGAAGAAAGATGATCTAAAGCAGTCAGCTGCTGAAGTTGCTTTTGTTTCTGGCTCTAAGCAGATACATAGCATTACTCATTTATCACATCATATAAACAAAATAAACACAGTTTTCTCCTCTGACACATCAGAAGTACCTTTACCTGAAACAACAACTGCAAGCAGAGTTTCTGAGAGTGGATCATTAAATAAGATTCTTAAGGAATGGACAAACTCTGATGGAAATTCTTCCTTGGAATCTGAAGATGCAACGTCCTCATTTGTTAGCTCCGTAGGACCAAGCTCCTCTTTTGTTCCTATTTCAGCAAAGCATGATTATTATGAATATTCAAGGTCAAATTGTCCTGAACAAGAACAACTGAGTAAATTATCTACTTACAGGTCTACCACTGAATGCACACAAACATTCAGCTGTTTGGAAAGCACCTCCACCACAGCTGGCTTGTCATTGATATCTAGGAAACTGGAGGGTTCTCTCCCCACGACTCATCCAGAGCTGCCAAAAGAACACACTCTGAAAAAAACACATTTTACTTCTGTGTTGCCTGTGCACGTTTTGGAGCAGAGAAATGGCTGTGTAGACGCAGAGTTAGAAGATGATTTCTTCAGAACTTTTGAAAAAGATGACCTCGATGATGACTACAGTAACTTGATGACAAAATCAAGTATGACAGATTCAGGCAGTGGAAGTGCATCTGTCAGTGCGCCTGCTGCTGAATCTTCTACAGGATTTGCTCATAACAGGACCTCAACACAGATATCTGCAGTAAAACAAGTCCAATTTGGAAACCATGGGCAGCTTTTTCCAAGAAGGGAAATACCAACATGCTGTGATGAAGGTTTCTTTCTCAATGACTTAACCAATAAGAACTGTTCTGTGGTAAGCAGTTATGAGCTTCAGCCATTGGCTGGACAAGAAGAAGAATCAGCTGTTAAAGTAGGTCTCCTCAGATTTGGGGAGAGTAATTTGGAAACAATGCAAGAAATGGATTATGAACAAATATCTGCAGATGAAATAACAACAGAGACGGATTTTTCCTCCCAGGAGATAACATATCGATGTAACCCTTTAGGTGCTGCTCACAGTGCAAGTTATGACCAATCTGCAACACCAATAGAGATGTCTCAAGAAGACATTATCTGCATGGAAACAAGCACAGATAGCTTGGCAGAGATTGCATCAGAGGAGCCTTCATTCAGTGATAATGAAGAATACGAACCAAAGGCTGAAGACTTGTCTTCACTGAATCATTATGAATTCAAAAGCAAACCTGTTTCAAAAAATTACTCCCACGAGTGTGCTCTAGCAGACAGTCAGGCAGGTCGCTTACCCCAACAAATTTCAGAAAATTCTCCATTATGTATTGATAACATAAGAGAAGAAAGCAGTGAAAGTAAGGAACACAACGTCTTGAATTCTCGGGCTGTAGTTCAGAAAGAATTTTCATCCAAATATGAAAACTTAGTGGTAAATGAAGTTAGTTATCTCGTAGTGAATGCAAATGGGAAAGACACTGAGTCCTTCCCTGCTGCTATTTGTGAGAGTACAACTGATTTTCTCCCAGAATCCAATTCAAGCCTATTCTACCAAGCTTCAACAAAAGCTAATCTTTTTCAAAGTGCATCTGAGACTGAAAATTATGGTAAACTATTGGAGCATTTCACAATAATGAAAGGAGATTGCGATGCTACCTCTAATCTTACTGTGGAAGTCAGCGCCACAGAAAGTTGTTCTGCTGTACATTCTGGCTGCCTTTGCACAACGTGCTCTTCAAAATCAACAGGGCAGAAAAACAGTACGCAGAAGTTGACCAACGCTTCTGTGGAATTTGATGCAGCCATTGCCCTGGAGGGAGAAACACAGAACAAATGTTTACTTGAATCAAGAGAAGAGAAAGAAGCCTTTTTTGAAAGTGATTGCCCAGAGGATACCTTGCTTGTTGAAGATGATGTGAACTCAGAGTCAGGCAGAGTATTTGACTATAACACAAATACATCAGCTACTGTTACTCAAGAGGAGAGTCCCTTTGTAAATAAGGAATCCAAGTTTGTAGGAGACCTGGAAGCCAATCCAGAGGAAACTATGGTTCCTTATGAGAAGACAAATGCAAACCCTGGTGAAGAAATAACAAAATTAATCAACTTAGAAAAAAATGCATTGGAAATTAAATCCAGACAGATTGAAAGTTTATCTGACTACCCAGTAGCCAAAGTTCAAAGTGTAACTGAGGACAGGAGTGGAGAGGATTTTAAAGACGTTGGTCTGTCTGAGAATCCAAAGAAAGCTTGTGAAGTTCAGTGTGAGTTTTATACAAATCTGTGCCTGACACGTGAAGAGGTGGAGAAGGATGAACTGCAGGAACCCAGCACCACAGCAGAACGCACTCAGGAATCAAAAGTGCTCGTGCGTTCTGGCAGCCCACTTGAAACAAGCAGCTTTTGCCAAAAAGAAAAAACCGAGAAAGTAGAAATAGGTGTTTACTCACCGGAGTTTTCTTTTGTTCCCAAAACCAGTCCTTCAGCGGTGTGTTCCCACACAGCAGGTATTACTCAGAATACTTCACGCTTCATTGATACTTGTGAGGGGCTTTTACAGATGAGCAGACCAATGGAAAATGTGTTTAATACAGAGGATGTGGCTGCAACGGTACTAATCACAAGTAGGCAAGGAAATACTTTAGCAAAACCTGAAAATGAAGGACAAGTAAATTCTAGCAGTTTAATTGAGCACTGTCCCCCAAACTGTTTGCCCCAGGAAGACAAGGTTAATCAATTTGAAGTGACTGGGAGTGAAGAACAAATTGTCATGACAAACACTGAGGGGCTGATGATCACGAGGCAAGAAGTCATACGCACAGATGAAAATGTGTTATTTACTGAAGAGTCTCCAGCTCTGCATCAGATGTATTGTGAGAGAGATGACAAAGAGGAAATTCTAAATCAATTCAGGATCCCTGAAAGATACCTGACAGCTTCAGGACTAGAACAGAATATACTGTTAGAAGATGATTCAAGATACCATGATCCTACAGAAATGAGTGAAGCTGGTGGCTCAGTGGACTCTGTTACAGATACAAGAAGTGCAGTCATGAAAGATATTGATGCATATGAATATTCAGCTGATGATAGTACAGGTATTGACCAATATAGAATTGAACAAGAACTTAAAAGTCCCCGCATTAAAGAGGACAGCCACATGTATATGAGTTGCTCTATGCGATATCCTGAGCATGGCCCTTCAGAAAACTTGAATGTAAGTACCATTAGAAAAAGACCTGATATTTTTCAATTGGATGTAGTAGACTCCAGAGTTGAGGAGGAGAAAGAGCATTTGATGAATCTTGTACAAATGGCCAAAACAGATGAAGAAAAGCAGATGTTTGTAGAAAACACAGAGGAGGTAGAACTGATCGTTTTACAAAGCCTGAATGAGCTATTCCCTGAAGACAAAGACAGCTGCCAAATGACACGTGATGACAGCAGATTAAATGAAATCCTAAGAGAAAGCCAGTGGGTGTCTACCAGCTTTTCTAGAAGTAATGAAGATACCAGTGAGCAACAGAATCCACCAGCAACACTGAAGCCTACTGGAAAAATCCAAGAAGGTTCACTTAAAGACTCCCCATGCCAGACTGTAAATCACCTTGTATATCTTGGAGCAAGTGATGATTCCCATCTTGTTCAAGATGTTACCACTGCATTGAAAGGACATACAAAACCATCTAACAGCAGTGCTGGAACTGGAGCTGTTCTGCCTTACTATGAAACATTAATGGAGAGTGATGTCTGTGTTGGCATGCCTGTTACAGCCAACAAAACGGGGCGAGAAGACACACATCTTCCTGATAAAAAGCAAAGTAAGAATGTAGCTTTTCTGCAAGCCAAGACCACACAGGACAGGCAGGAGGATGAATCCTTTGTATTTAACAATGCACCTGATTGTGCTGTATCTGGGCAAGCTGTCAATGAGAACAGCTCTACCACTCCCTGCAGTGCAGATGGTTCTGAGTCTGAAACTGTTGTTCTTCAGCAAGGGGCCAAAGGAAATTCATTTTCCTTGGAAAAATTAGATTCTTCTGAAGATACAATTCAGGATCTTAACAATGCTCATGAAGAATGCAGGGTGGATTTAATGGTTAATAAACTACCAAAAGACAGCCTTAATTTCATAGAAGATACAGCTCAAGAGGAAAAGGGTACCATTGTGTCTGATTCACTGCCCTTGGATAATTCAAACCTTTCTTCTTTAGAGAAAGAAGTGATGGAAGATATAGGGAGGGGAAAACTGCATTCTAAACTAGAAATCTCTTCACAAAAAACATTTCACAATGTTAATACAACTCAGAAAGTATTTCACTCAGGGAGTTTATCACAGTATGATGAGACGGAGAAATTTTTAAGTACAAGCTATACTATAACAAACAGTACAAATGAAAATGCAAAGTTTCCTGGTGTGGCTGGATATCAGTGTGAGCCTGGAGAAAAACAGGGACACAAGACTTCTGAAGAGTGCTGCTTAGACCAGCCAGGCAGCATTGTTTCTGAGAGTGCTTCAACCCTTTCAGAAGGCCTGGACAAGTCTCCATGGGAAAATCCACATTATGATAAAGAGTTTCTACATTATAATAGAACCTTGGACACCTCTGAATGTCCTCCTGGTCTCCTGAATCCTCCAACATCATCTGCAGATGTTTTCATTGCCAGCAGTGGAGACAAAGGTAAAAACGATGCTGTTCTCTCTGAAGAAACAAAATACTTTGAAAGTGAATCAACTGGTTTAAGTGTATTTGTGACTTTTCCTGATGTTTCTGAAAAAGTAGCTGAAAGGAAAAATAGTTCTGCAGTTGCAGAAGCCACGTATACTCAGAATAATAAATTCCTTGGAAAAGTTGCAGAAGCAGATCAAAAGGAGAAAATAATTCAAGGTTCTTTCCAGGATTGTAATGACATAACAGAAAATGATGTTCATGAGTACTCGGAACACTACAGTAACACTTCTAGTGTGACTGTACCACAGTCAGACTCACTCACTTTTCAGAGCCAAGGACAGACTGGCAGTAAAGAATCAAAGTCTTTTCCATCCTACTTTGCAGAAGATGCTCCAACTGATACACCATTTCAAAGCTCCAAGAACTTCAGTCCTTTTGACACTTCTTGTTTACTTGATGACTCAAAGCCTCTAATGTTTAGTCAGCTTGAGGACTCACTTCAAGACACTTTTTTGACTGAACAACTGTCCTCCAGTTCTGCATGTGTTAGTCATCCATCCTTAACACCACTTTCAGAATCTTCTTTAACTGCAGATACAGGCCCTGGTGAAACTGGTCCATACGATATTTCACATACAGATATGTTGAAACATTCTCCATTTGCTGCTTTGCAAATACAAGACACTCAGTCTGATAAGGCCGTGGTATTCGATGAGCCGATACACGCTTCAGGAAGTATTTTACTTTCTCTTGCAAAAGAAAACAGGCATTGTCCAGTATCAGACACAGACTGTACTTCATATGAAAATTCTGCTGTAGTTGGGGAACCTGCATATGGAAGTAATCCTAAAAAATTTGACAATGTTATAAAAGCTGGTCAGCATCACTGGGCTAAAGTTCCACCCCAAGAAGCTTGCACAGAGCACATAGAGAAAGTACTAAAGGATAACTCTCTTTTATTACCATCATTACCTTTTTGGGATACTGGACGGGCAATTCTTGTTAAAGAGAGACAAATGAGAAAAACACTTAACAGAAATGAGGAAGAACTGCATTCAAATACTGAGGCTGAACATTTTGCAGTAAAGACAGAGCAGAGAAAAACATCAGTCAGAGAACCTGATGAAAAGCAAACTAATGTACCCTCAAATTCTGCAAACGAATTAATAGGCTCAGAAGTTACAGTGTTGGAAAATCTGTGTCCAGGAGATGCTGGTGTGGATCCTGAACACACCTGCAATTCATTTAGTCCAACATATCCCTCATACAGCAGAAGCACCGATCCCAAACGACTGTATCGCACTGTCTTGGCGTTTGAAAAAAACCCTGCAGATCTGCAAGATAATTGTCAGTATGTGCCTACAGATGAGCAGATGGAACAGGTGCCAGATAGAACAAATACAGATGGCAAAAAAGAGATTTTACTTTGCAAAAGTAGTACAGGTTCAAGCGTTGATAGTCCTGATGATGATGATGCAAACAATTGTTCAACAACAGAAGACGCTATAATGAGGAATAAGTCTCTGAAATCAGAAAGACTAAAGTTTTCTGAAATGAATAATGAAAGCACCTCTGTGAAGTTTTCACCAGAAAACCAATATTTGCCCCCTCAAGAATCCCAATTAGTGCAATTCAGGAACAAGAGATCATATTCTTCTACACGGAGTACAAAGAGCTGTAAACAAAGTGAACAGAGACCTTATTTACAAAGTCACAGACTGTCAGCCCCAGCTATTGCTGTCTTCTCTGATACAGAATATGCTTTGGAAGCTTCATCTCAGGCAGATCCTTTGTTATATTCTGCATCTAAATCACTACAAGATTTAAATATGAGTGTAGAGCCTCCATCACCAACTGAAGACGATCTTCATGGAACTGCAGGATTTTCAAAGCAGGAATCACAGAACTTCCTACAGGTTAAATCTAAACCCAGATTTCAGCAGAGAATGGCACAAACCAAGAAGCTTGCAAACTGCGATCCCAAAAATTTACAGAATTTTGCAGCAGGAACCCAAAGCAGCCAGTCTTTAAACGACTGTACTACTCAATCTCCATCATCCTCACTGCACGCAGCCCACAGCTCTGGGGGTGCAGAAGCAAATGTTGATTTAAAGAGTAGTTCTGTAACTCAGTGTAGCGAAGGCAAAGTTGAAGAAGCAAGATGCCAGCCAGAAACAGATTTATTTTTGCATGACAATAAAGATACAATGCATTTTAGTTCAAGTGATATCAATCCATATATTCATCCATGGCAACGAGATGGATCATGCAAGATTGGCTGGAAACAGTATGTTTTTGGAAGTGCAAGTGATGTCTCTTGCAATCAAATTCCTGTACACCTGGAAAATCGTAAAGTTACCAGGTGTTCCAGTGTAGACAATGGAATGAACTCTCAAAATTCTCCTTTTCATTCTCATCTCAGTTCGTATGCTACAGCAAAAGTTTTATCGAGCACTTTAAGCAGCATTGAAGGTCTTCAAGGATGGGACAATGTCAAACAAGACTTTCAACCTGCGTACTCAAGTGACAGTACTAAGCAGTATAGCAACGTGTCCAGCGAAACATTAGAAACTAATCCAGAAAATAACACTGCTGAATTTGAGAATCCTTCTGCACAACCTGGTAACTCTTCAATGCAGGTTGATGAAATTGTACTGTTATACCCTTCTGAGTCTGAAAGGTCTTCCAAAAAACTACCAGGGCTTACATGTGAGCAGGGAACACAAACAGCAACTACAGGAAGGTGTAAGAGGCAGAGAAGACGTCAAAGAAGCTATACGGATGTTTCTGCAAGAAAGCAGGAAACAAACAGAGATCTGTTTCATCAACCTTCTTGGACAAGCATGGAGAACCTGTCCATGCATCTGTCACAGCTTCTTCAGAATACTTCTGAGCTTTTGGGAAACCTCTCCCAACAGAGCATTATAGACAGTGAGCAGAATGCCAAAATCAACCAAAGAGGAACTGAAGAGGCTGTAAAGACCACTAGATCAGATAGCTGCACTCAGACTACAGCAGATGTAGGCACTCAGACAGAGGTTTTGGAAGAACCTCAAAGGAAGCAGGAAGAAAAACAAGTGGAGGCAAAAATGGAAAATGAATTGAGGGCAGCTCAGGCAGTAAACATGGATTGGAAAGGGAGAGGTGCAGAGGCAGTAGGTAAGATTCCCAAAAGGAAAGAGGAAACACTCTCTCTTGAAGAAAGAACACAAGAAGGAACAGGGATGAGAAATCTGGGCAATTCTGACTTCTATGACAGTCTTGACAGCATTTTGGAAGACTCCTTTATGCGTCTGCCTCGCTTACCCAGAACCTCTGCTCCTGTCTTAGATTTTCAAAAAACATCATTAAATGCGCAGCAAAATGCTGCTTTTGGTAATACCAGAGTTTCATCTGTCACATCATCTTCACTGAGCTCAGGGCAAGATGGTTCTTCGTGCACTGTAGTCAGCAGCCCTACTGACAGCACCTCTCAATCTCCAGCGTCTTACGCTCAGGATAAAAGAAGTGTCACTGACCTAGAGGTTCCAGCAGAAAGAAAATTTAGTTACAAAAACACCCTGCTGGTCGATAGGGCCTCTTCCCCTATCCTTACTCTCAGTGCTAGTCCCAGCAGCCAGAGTGCTTTCAGCAGGTCTGCCTGCCCTCTTAAGGAACCTCTTGGATATTCCAGTGATGTTTCAAGTCCCCTTCATGGCCAGAGACAGCAGAGGACAGGCCTGCAGCCCAGCCTCCAACCTCACGTGGACAATTTTTCACAGACAGAAACAGACAGCGAGTCGAGCTCCTCTAAAGGCAACAAGGGCATAAGAAAGAAATCCACCAGCTTTGCAGAGAAGAAAGCAGCCAAAGAGCTTTTGGGACAGGATGGTTCAAAAGACTTGGAACAGCAGCAGAGTCTGATGGTTGACACCCACACTACCATTTGTGCAAAGCGACTGTATCGCTCCAGTAGTGTGATGGAGGTGTCGGGCCACAGGCAGGTTTTAACAGGTGATCTCGGGGACCGCAGCCCACTGGCACGTCCTCTTCGTTCCATGTATGTCACGAGGGGAGGAAGAGGTTCTTCAGCTGGAATTGGACATGAAAAATATGTTGGTAATTCTGATACTGCTTTGATTCGTAACTACTCACCTCCAAATGCCGAGTTACTTTTTAATCAGAAAATTAGTGCCACTTGTTCAAGTAAGACAAATGCTGGTGCCTCCTCAGAACCTCTGGTAGAAGCATCTTCTCTACAATTCCATGATTTCTTCTGGAAAAATGAAACCAGCTACCCTCCCCTGCTCTCTGATGCGAGCGATGCGCGCGATGCGCAGACGTCCTTCCGGGATGAAAACACGGATTCTGTGACTGAGAGTGAATGTGACACTGAAATTCCTCTCAACACAAGTACTGCTTTTGCAAAGCCCTACAGGCCTCGGAGCTACAGTCTCCGTGACTTACCCCTACACAACAAATTCAGCAACTGGTGTGGTGTTCGGGGCAGCCCTTCTCCTTCCTTACTCAGCTTGAGCGGCAGCGTGACCGATCTCCGCGGCCAGGCAGAAAGGACAGCTCGAGGCACGAGAGGAACAGAAATGGAGGGGAAACCCCAGCTTTCTGACAGCAGGAGCAGAGAGATCGAGCGACTTCAGAGAGAGCGAGCTCAGATCATGTCTGGCCTCCACCTGGACCTGCACCAGCATCCCCTCACCGTGGAACTGACTGAAGCCAAGCTCAACCACGGCATCGGGGAAACGGACGCCCTGCTGAGGGTCCTTCAGAGCGGGGCTGCAGATGACCTGGGGGCGATTCCGGTGAAGCAGCAGCTTTATGAAAGGTAAATTACTTAAAGTAGTGTTGGGTTGAGTATTTTGTGTAAGCTTCCTGCAGCATAAATAACATTTAGTAATGAGCGCTTAATCACTTAGTCACACCGAGTCAACTATATGTGAAGAGATATAGTATTAAGCTTATTTTACGTACAGTTAAGTAATTCATTTAAGACAGTTTTGGGGTTACTGCAAGAAAATAGAGAAAACTATAAGATTCATTGTTACCTCACTTAACATTGCTAGCAGCTAGGAGAGAGATCGTGGGTATCTGGTGATTATGGGAATATGTTTCATTGGTTTATTGCGATGTAAAAATAATTTATATGGGAATCTCATATCTCATTCAGGCTTCTGTGAATAGATGCTGCTGCATGAATATGCAAAAACGATTTTTAAAACCCCATAAATATACAAAATAAGTTACGAAAAAATCAAGATCCTAGATTCTTGCAGTTGGATTATGGAACTCATTTTAGGAAGCTGTTGCAACTAAAAAAATTAGAGAATAATTACATTATTCTCTGTCCTCAATTTACCTCTCAGCCATTACAAGCAGTAACCAAGACCGTCTTAGCATTTCCTGCTATTAAAAAATCAGAGTTCTAGAATATCTGCATCATCTGTCAGGATATGGCCAAATGGATATTTGCAAGGGCAGCGTATGGTATTAGATTCCTATAAATTTTATATTACAAAGCTAATAAATATTTAAGTCTTTTAAAAAATGAGAAAATGTAACTTTGCAGGGTGTATTTTGTCAGTCTAATCCTGTTTCCCTGGCAGACACATGAAGACTATTGAAACTTTGAGGAAGGAAAGAGAGAAAAGGCTGCAAAGATACCAAAGAAGTCGAAGTCTGAGTCCTCAAAAGCATTTGAGTCTGTTGCAGATGGATGCAAGTCAGAGGGATCTGGATCTGCCCAGCAGACGCCGAGAGTATCTGCAACAGCTGAGAAGGGATGTGGTGGAAAATACCAGGTGGGGCATCAGAAACCTCTCTTCTGCCCTGATGCACGTTGGCAGTGCTCACAGTGGGTGCACGTTAAATAGTTCTTACCAGCAGCTGATACTTCTGTGGCAGAATTCTTCTTCTCAATACAGGAGTGTTAAACTTTGGGGTAGAAAGTGCTTTCAAGAAAAATGTGTGCCTGATTTTAGAAAACATTCATTAAAATCTTCCATCTAGTTTATTTCAGTCCATAACAAATGTCTAATTTATTTTATGCATATGATGTATGGGGAGAGCCAAGTATTTAGACCTAAGTCATTATAGACGAATCTGTCTTCTTAGTCCTTCACTAACTTAAAAGCCCCATGAAATAGTTAAGTTTCATGTTTAATATCAAAAAAGTTCTGCAGCTCTTCACCATTTAGAATTTGAATCTCTCATCCCTCACCGTATCTTCAGCAGGAGACAATTATTTTCCCAACACAATTATTTTGCATGCAATATGACGAAGAGGTAACCTTAGATCATATGGAGACCTGACTTAGAAACCAATTAAATTGTTGGTGTAATCTAAGTGCTAAACTGGACTTGCAATCTGAATAATTTTCCAAGGTTGCTGGCCATGCAGCCTTTAGTGAGCCAAGAGAAGCTTTTTGGAGGCTAATGGGGTGGGTTTTAATTGCTTTTCTGGCAAGTTTTCCTGTTCTGTTGTGGTATTTTGCCAGGTGACCTGACTTAAAGTAATTATGTGTGTTTTCCCCCACTCATGTGCACTTAGAGTTCAAGAACCAAAAAGAAGAAGCATTCAGCATCCTTCAGACATTGAACTGCTGCTCCGAGACTACCAGAGGGCACGGGAGGAAACCAAAACTGAAATTGCACGAGCCAGGGACAAACTCCGGGAGAGAGCTGAGCAAGAGAAAAGGCGTATTCGGGAGCAGATATTTTCTCAGTTACAGAAGGTGAGCATTACAGCAGGAACTGTTTACATTATTCAGATCTATGTGTTTTTTTAAGAGAAACTTTTCCATAGCTAAGAATTCTCCTGTTTGATGCACATTAGTGTAGAAAAAAGCAAAGAATTAAATGCAAATTTGTGGTTAAAAAACCCTCAGTAATACTGAACTGATACTGCTCGTGCTTCTGAACTACATCTTTCTGAAGCCACGTTTTATGTACAAGAAACTCCTGGTGTTTTCTTATTGGGTGAAGCTTACACAGCCATCCCGTGGGGCATCTGCCCAGTCTAGGGAAGAGTCCTGAATTTACTTTAGTATGTATATAAACACAAAGGCCTTTATGCTTTTCTTTTTTCTATTTCTCTTTTTATATTTTCCTCTGGGTGTGTATTTGTCCTGTATTTTTTTTTTCTCATTGTTGTTACCCATCGTGCCCAGCCCAAGCACGTGCATTATTTCTCCCAGAAGCGAGGACAGTACCTCATTAGGATGTGGCTGTTCTGCCCCATTTCTGACTATATTTTTAGGCAGTAACTTTTTTCACTGCCTGACAATGCAGCTACAATGCCAGCCACAGCCCTCCCCTCCTCATACCTGTGTATCTGCTACAAAATGTGGTGAATGCTCATTTCATTGCTCTGCACCCCTTAAGGCACCTTGAATTCAGGCACCTCCCCTGGATGACTGGATCTTACCACATCTGCTGCCATATTTTTCTTGTCAAATGTAGACATACTTCACCTGAGTTGGAAATCTAAATTGAGAACTGCCTGTGGAAGTATAAATAATCCAGAAGTTCTTGGTATTTTCTTATTATGCAATTTTTATTTCATCTTCTGGGCTGACATTGAGTAATTGCCTTGGTTAAAGTAAAACCTTCAGTCTTCAGTGAGGCGTAGGCAAAGAGTGACACATGGGAGTGAAAGCAGATATTTCTTTCCCCTTAAAGACATCCTAGCATTGGTTTGAAATCCTGGACTCTCATGTGTGAGGAACAGCAGAAGCTGCATTTTCCCAGACTGTCAGGGTTGAGAAGGTGCTTTGCTCTATGGTTTAAGTAATCTTAGTCTTTCAAATGACCCTGCTTATTTACTACTTCCTGTACAGCAACAGCTTTTGTCCTGACAACCCTTCCTGAACAAAAATTGGACGACTTTATAGTATTCCTCTTTCACCTTTCATGGCTGTCAGTGATTGGGCTGGCTGTTGTGGAGGGGGGTCTGTGTGGGGTTGTTGTTTGTAACACTCTGGTACCTATTCCAGGAAGAAGCCAGGCTGAAGACTCTGGCCAGTACGAGCACTTTGTGTACGGGCTCCAGCCTCAGCCTCTCCTCTGGCCCAACGTCTGGCTACAACAGCAGCAATGCTGCTACCTACACTGCCAGCAACCCCAGCCAGGAGGGACAGGTGAGAAACAACCCCCGGGACTGAGTCTCCTGATGCTTCACCAGTAACAGATAATGTGAGAACAGACACCCGTTTTGGGATGGTTCATGTTGTGTCACAGCTATCGAGGACAGGTTTGTGTCACTAGTGCACAGACAGGTGACACGGGGTGGAGGGAGTGTTACCGTGTAATTGCAAAGGACAATGACACGTATTTTTCTGAGTGGTGGTTTATTTTGTGTCCAGTTTTGGGCTCCCTACCACTAAAAAAGACATTGAGGTGCTGGAGCGGGTCCAGAGAAGAGCAACAAAGATGGTGAGGGGTCTGGAGAGTAAGTCTTATGAGGAGAGGCTGAGGGAGCTGGGGTTGTTCAGCCTGGAGAAGAGGAGGCTGAGGGGAGACCTTATTGCTCTCTACAGCTACCTGAAAGGAGGGTGTAGAGAGATGGGGGTCGGTCTCTTCTCCCAAATCACAGGTGACAGGACTAGAAGTGGCCTCAAGTTACGCCAGGGGAGGTTCAAGCTGGATATTAGGAAACATTTTTTCACTGACAGGATTAGCAAGCATTGGAATGGGCTGCCCAGGGAGGTGGTTGAGGCACCATCCCTGGAGGTGTTCAAAAGACAGGTTGATGTAGTGCTGGGAGGTATGGTTTAGTGATGGTGATGCTTCTTGCTTGTTGTGTGGGTGTTTATTTTTGTCAAAATTAGGTTGACGGTTGGACAAGATGATCTTTAAGGTCCCTTCCAACCTAGAAGATTCTGTGATTCTGTGATTTTAAACTCATAAAACCCCGACAGTGTTACTATTGTCAGTAATGCCACTATCTGTCAAATGTTATAGAAATAATAAGCCTTTTCTTGTGATAAACCAGAACCTGATATTCTCAGTGTGCTTCCCTCAGCGATGCATACATTGACTTAAGAGTTTGTGTGTGTGAACATGAACTTCCCTGAAGTTACTTTTTGGCGTATGCACCAAAACTCCCACTTGGTTTGCTGTATTTCTCAAGTCAAGGTATAATTTCATAACCAGGGGAAAGGCAAAGGGAGGTACCTTATCATAAAGAAAAGCTCCCAACTAATAATCCACTTGCTATGTAACATAATTTATTTTTCCCGGTTCATGCCAAAAGCTTCCACTTCTGTTCTTTCTTAAACCAGGTTTCTTCTGGAAATTCTTTGTTTTCAAGAGATACAAGAGGTCGTTCAGCTGTTAGAAATAGTCAGCTTTATTTGTTAGAGCAACTGCAAAAGGATTCAACATTTGGTAAGTAAAACATACGTTGGCTTATGTTTGAGTTGTATTCCGAAACCTAATGAGATGTGTCGTTTATGCAAATCAAAATTTTATTTGAGGATGTCCCTACCATTACAGGACTGCAGAAAAATAATGCCAACCAGTAGCCAGGGGTTGCTTAGAATGTCTTGAAAAAGTAAATGGTGATTTAGGATACTGTTTTGAGTGAACCAAGGCAGCATGTGGGGGGCTAAAGCTGCAGCAAGTACAGGATTGTACCTGCAGGTTCTTACTTTTATCCTCAAGACTGGTGTCACCTGTTAAATCTTTAAGTTATTTTATTAGCTTATATGTGGTAATAGCTGTTAAACTTGAGTAATGCAAGATGTAACAGCAGTGCAATTACCAATACATGGATTGTCTAGACAAGGGATGGTATCTCCTTCGTTTCTTCATCAGGATCAGGCGGATGGGGTGCTCCAATGGAAGGTGTAAGTCCCTACAACTGCACAATAGCAGTGGGTTTCCTTTTTATTTATTCCCCTACGGCTTTTTTTTGTTTGTTTCCTGCAGAAGCCAGCAGAATTCAGCCACCCCTTCCTTCCAGTAGCATCAGCTGCAGGTTCACTCATGGATTAACTATTTCCGTCAGCTCCTCTTCAACAAAAGGATACCAGGATTTGTCCAAGCACATCCTGGCTAATGCTACCACTGAGGTCGGTAAATAAGCACCATTTTCACTTATTCCTGTGCCTCCTACTGGAAGTTTTAGCAAAAATGGGTGGGACAAAGCCTTGTTGTTCTACGCTGCCAATAGTTACCCATTTGTCAGTTAGAGAGACACAGTGAGGCGTCTTAAATGGCAGGGGGAAGTGATCCAGGCTGCAGCAGTGAGGCTCAGAAGAGACTGAAATGTTCGAGTGAAGCTGGTGAAACTCCTCTAGCGTTCAAGAATTCCTACAGTGCAAGTTTTAGGTGACAAGATGTGTGTGTAGTTAGAAGGAAAGCAAACCAACTTTGCAATTCAGAGCAGGTAGAATCACTTCAATGTCATTTGGAAATACATACTCTTCCCATATCCCCTTTTCTTACAACAGTTTAGGTTAGTGTACAGGCTTTGGCTTTTTTGTGTGTCTGTGTGTGTCTGTGTGTGTCTGTCCCCTTTTCTTACAACAGTTTAGGTTAGTGTAGTTTGAGTAGAAGATGAGAGTGTAGCAGCACATAAAAGCTGGACACAGCTTTAGAGTTGACACAGCTTTCTCTTACCTGTCCATTTGTCACTGTTTTGCAAGGTGATGGCAGCATGTTCCCATAACCTGAGGAACCTCTACACCTGCCAAGCAGCAGCTGGTTGGAAGTAAGTTTATGGCAGGTCTTTATAATGGGATATGTAAATATATATATCTCCACCTTCAGCAGAGACACTGACAGGTGGGTCAGTCTGGCTGTTAATACTCTCTAAGGATTGGCAGCACCATAAAACTCCTTGTGGTAAAGCCAGATGAGAGTGTAGCAGCACATAAAAGCTGGACACAGCTTTAGAGTTGACACAGCTTTCTCTTACCTGTCCATTTGTCACTGTTTTGCAAGGTGATGGCAGCATGTTCCCATAACCTGAGGAACCTCTACACCTGCCAAGCAGCAGCTGGTTGGAAGTAAGTTTATGGCAGGTCTTTATAATGGGATATGTAAATATATATATAAATATACTTTTTATGTACTTGGTTTGAAAGGTACAAACACCTTTTGCTTCTCTTTGACAGATACCAGTGTACAGAAAAAGAGGTGCTGGTTTACTACAAAGTCTTCCCCTCAGCTACAAGGCACGGCTTCCTGGGGGCAGGAGTGATAGAGCGACCCCTCCCCTGCGTGTGGGGGCTGGTGAGGGACCCTGGCAAAAGGCACCTCTACGACAGAACCATCAACACCGCGCGGATACACAAGAAGGTGACCAGCCACATTCAGCTGGGTGAGTATCCACACTGACTCCTGCTATCATTAGGTACTTTCTCAGCTCCACTTGTCAGCCAGGAAAAAAAATAGAGGCAACTTACTTCATTTTTTCAGGTTTAAATAAGCAATTTCATTTTTTAATATTTCTAAGATGTTTCCAAAGTAACAAAGTGAGTACACCTCACTGCAGAAGTACAGCTGGAGACACTGCTTTGAAAGTCAAAATGAATCTTAAGTGGCTTGAGAAAGCATCTTAGTGACACATCACAGCATATTAACTACAGCTCTTAGGCAACAAGAAGTCAAAATAATATACTGCATGTGCATTTAAGGGGTGGGGGAAAACAGTGACAACTTAAAACTGTTGAAGTCTAATTCTAATTTTGTTGTTCTTGGGTGTTTTTTTTTCACAGTGTATTTAGTGACCGACACCTCCCTGTGTTACCTGAAGCAACCCCGGGATTTTTGCTGCATTACTGTGGAAGCCAAAGAGGTAAAGTGAACCTTCTCTCTGAAGCCTGGAGATGTGATAGAGGAGTAATTGTAATGAACTCATGGTTCAAGGACAGAGGCGAGAAAGGAGCCTTTGTCACCTCTCCAGCAGTGCCAGTGTAAAAGGAAGAGCAGCCATGCTGATGTGACAAGTGAATTACCTATAAAACCCTCTTGTGAATGACAGTTGTCAACCAAACCCCATTAGGCAGTCATACAAGTGTTACCGAGGATATTCTGGTTACAAACATGCAAGATTATGACAAAAATTATTTCATAAATAACATAAGGAATATTATTTCTTATTAAAAGAGCTCCTTTAAGTAAGAAAGATGAGAAATATGGCTCATGGCAAATAGAAAACTTTACTATATGCATAGACAATGTTTCAAATAGTCATTTTGAGACTTTGTCCCTTGCAGGAGAACTTGTCTGTCTTGGCCGTGCAGTCCGTGTACGACGCGTCCATGCCTCACCCCGGGAAGGAAGTGGTGAGAGGGGAGATCCTGCCAAGTGCTTGGATACTGGAACCTGATGTGGTGAACGGAAGAGATATCACCAGAGTTATCTACATGGCACAGGTAAGACTTTGCTCTACGTCCAACTGTGAGTGCAAATACTGGAGAGCTAGTAAGTAACAAAAAATATCATTCTTATGCTACAGCTCCATGAAGTTTATGAAGTGACCATAAAAGCCACCTCCGCACTCATCTGGCCTGATGTGCGGTAACACAGAGAGACTGTTACTAGCAGTGTGCCTTAGCACATGGTCACAAGCTTTTACAGCATTTAAAGCTGCTCCCTTGGATACTGAGACTCTTCCGTAAAGGTTTATTAGCAATTTTAGCACACGTTGTGCTCTCACATGGTGAGCCAGTAATGGAGAGTCTTGGTTGTGTTTTCATCTTGCTGAAGACCACCTTGGGTTATGCTATTTTCAAAATGCATGGAAATACTTACTGTTAACTTTTTCTAACTGAAGCTGTTAATTCTTCACTCTTAATAGAGAAGTCACACTTAATAGAGAAGTCAAGGTTAGGATTCCAGTTAAGTAGAAGAAAATCCTGCCATGCATTTATTAGACTCATCTGAAAAAGCAGGCTCTCTTTGAGACAGTGCTACCAAGTACTTAGAAATGTCCAGAAGAGAATACCATAATGTGTGTAATTTATTTTAAAGTGCTCATCTGAGAGCTAAATGCATTAGTCCTTCAAACTCATCTATATAAAATGTGGTTTTAAGATCCAATTTTAAAAAATATTATCTTTAAATGATAGTAATTATAGTACATGCATTTTTACAATGCATATGTGTAATGTATATGCATTTTTTTAAATGTTATATGCATTTTATATTTATATTTTAAATTGTATATTGTATTTCAGTATATGCATATAGAGATACAGTGTTACTGAAAATGTTTCTCAAACTAGTAATATTTAATCCAAGCTCAAACTCAAAAGCAGCGTGGGTCATATCTGCTGAGAGTAACAAATAGCAAAGCTTTGAAAGTCTATGGAGAATTGGGGAGGAAAAGATACAAACTGCTCAGTAACAACAGCATTTGGCTGTAAATTACTTTTGTGCTTAACATAGACTCCCAACATTGGAACTATTCCAAAGATAGAGTTGTTTTGTTCAAAACCAGGTACCAACCCCAACACGCAGCCTTTCTTCTCCTTCCTGCAGGTGGACCTTGGTGCCCCAGCCGTCCCCGCGAGGCTCCTGAGCTCCATGGCCAAGCGACAGCCCCTGGTGATCGCCCGGCTGGCACACTTCCTGGCCAGCTAGTGTTTGGTGCAGAACTGGACCAAACTGGACCAGCTGGACTCCACAGCAGCTGAAAGCTCCTGCAGAGAGAGAGAGACAAGTACCTGTAAGGGTAATGTAAAACGGTGGCTGAGAAGACAGTCACAATCAAGCCTCCAACTGCTAACGCTGGACTATACAGAAGTCTAGTTAGACAAAAAGGATCATTTATTTTGGCCAATGCTGCTCAGAAGAAACCCAGCAAGTGTTATGGGGAACCTGTCCTCCTGGAGACAGCTGTGAGAACGCTGCACAGCTCAGCAGGGAGGTGTGCTGGCTCTAGGAAGAGACTTTGCTTTACAACAGCCTGCATCTTACATGCAGAAGTCTATTATTTAGTTTCTGTTTCCAAGGAGCTTCAAAGATCAACCTTCTTTAGGAAAGTTTAGGCAGCAGTTGGGGAAAAAGGCAATGGAAGCAATGAAATGCACTCCAGACTGGAACCAGCAGGCGTGTGGCTTGAGACCTTGTACCAGCTCTGGAGTAGAGCTGCAAAGCCACTTCCTAATGTTGAGCTGGGTATGGAATGCAGAGTTCCTAATGGTGTAGATAAATCACTTACCTGTGCTGGGCTGGCTGCACTCCCTGCAGAAGGAAGGTAAAACAGCCCTATATCCACCCCACACCCCGGGCAGATTTTCTTCCTGTCACTGGCTGAGCGGGTGCAGCATCGGTGGGACCCACCACGCCTCAGGACACAGTTGTACTGCACTGCAGAACCAGGTGCTTTCACACCAAGAAACCAAACTGACAGCTGTAAACAGCGACACTTTGTCATTAATAGGGAGTAGTACTGAGTAGTCAGCTTGTTTCTAGAATTTGAATCCTGCAAATAAGAGCAGCTTTTTCCATCAGCCCTTCTAGACTTTCACCCAAATGCATTAAGAGTTGGAAGTGGAGCCTGGTGGGAGTTCCAGCGCGCTCCTTTGCAGCCAGCACTGACTCCTCCTGTTCAGTTACCTCGTGGCACTTCTGTAGAGCTCAGTCCAACCATCCCGCTGCCAGGCTTCACACATCTGCTCAACCCACTCCCTGGTTTGGTCACACGTTCCTAAAATCAAACAAAACCAACTTGAGTATCTAAATAACTTCATTTAGTTCTTCAGCACAACAGTAAAGAATCACTTTAGGTATCTTGTCTAAGCAATAAGAAGATGCTATGATACGCTTTCTTTAGCTCAAAAAAGCCCACATTGTTCAAGAAGCTGTTGCACTTTAAATTTGTCAAGTAAGAAATATGTATTCAAGTATCCACCTTACCCCAGTCAGCACCTGCTGCTTTAACACAGTTACTGTCAGTAAAAGGTGCATTTTCCCAGCACAGGGTGACCTCAGCTGCACTTCCCACCTTGGAGTTCAAGAGCCAAGAGCTACTTTTACTATATCTTTGCACAGGTGTAGTTTTGGCTCTCAGCTTCTGCGTTACTTCCTGTTGTTAATGTACTAAGTTTTAAAAGAAAATATAATAGCTATTTTAAATTGATATTTAAGAAAATAGCAGTTTTGAGACATATCAGCCCAAGGCTCCCCCATCCCCTTAAACTATACCAGGAGGATAACAAAACCTTTCACTTAACAATTTGTTTTGTTTTATCTTTAGATGGTCATGGTTACAAATTGTACAGCAACCTATTACTGCTCTTTTTTTTTGGTGAGGCTCAGCCTTTTCTTAAAATCCTGCTAAACATGGTTCAAGTGTCACAGATTTTCCATAGCCTATGGAAAAAAGGGACAACCGGTCACAAAGATTTCCAGATTTGCAGCCAGTCACAGAGCCCTCCCTCTCCCTCCCTCTCAGTGGAAACCAAGAAAGGAAGAGAACAAGGCAGTACTTAAAGGCCCTAGAAAACACGAGCAGCAACAGCAGCCCAGTGAGTTGGCTCAGTCCCCAGTGCTCCTTCCCTGGAATTCCGGAGGAGGCAGGGAGGTCTGAAGCAGCCCACCACAGATTGGCTCAGTGCTTTGCTTTTTTCCCTTTTATTTTGGACACGGCACTAGTGATAAAGCAGTTTTTGTAGGAAAAACATCTAGGGGGATTCCTGTTGATCAACGATACCAGTGCCTATGAAGGATAATGTCTTATTGTACAGTGCATCAGATGTTTATTTTTATATATACATAAGATTTTTTTCTATGTTTACAAATTAAGTTATTTATATATGCTTGTTTTGAAGCGTTTTTATATGCTATCAAAGCTAAGTTTTATTTTTATTGGTATTGAATTAATGTAACTTTTTTTTTTAATACAATCTTCAATTGATACTAAAAAGCCTATTTATATAAATGTTTTCTTTTGCAAATATAACATTTTATGGTACCTGTTAACGTACAGCATTGGTTTGTTTGAAGGGAAGGAATAAAAACCCAGCAGATACCTAATTTGTTCATCTATAACGGGCAAAACCCAACTTCCTGTAAGTTACTGCTGAGCAGTAGATGATCAAACCAATTGTGTTGTACCACCTACTGCTGCATCTCTGCTCTTAATCAAGATTGCTATTTTCATATCCACAATAAATGGTATTTTCTACACAAGGAAACGTGCCCCACCTTATTTTGCTCCAGCCTATGGAACTGCTGGATGGAGAAATAAGAGAAAGGCTGGCTTGTGACAAGAGATGGAGGTCTCCTCCTTACCTGCTGAGGGATACGGGGAGTCCAGAAGCCAGTCTCTGCTTCAACTTGGTTTCTGCACCTCATCCAAGCAGCAGGGCTTTTTGGTTTTGTTTTGAGGCTGAAGCTTCCTCCCGAGTCCTGTTACACGACTCCTCTCACCTGCAGGCCCAGAAGGAAGTTAATGTAATGCCATTTTTCCTCATTTCCTTTATTTTTTCCAGTAGGGAAGGCTGAGAGAAGGCAGGCCCCACACTGACCCAGCTTGCTGTGAGCTCTCAAGGCAGCGCGCAGGGACCAGGTACGGTTCCTGAAGCACTGGGACTGCAGAGGGTGAGGTGTCCCCACGGCTCAGCATCCATCCCTACGCGGGGAGCACCAGGCTCTGTGTCCATCCCAGGATTTAGTTACAAAGCCAGGGCTCTGTCTCTGCAGCCCAGGGACCAGAGCAACTGCTCTGAGATGTGACAACACGGAAAGAGGCGTTTCTTACCTGCTGGCTCCTGCTGAAGAACTGCCTCCCTTCTGCCCAGCAGGGCACACCCAGGCTCACTGGAAGCAATAAACCGCTCCTGGGACTTGCCCAACTTTTAAATAAAAATTTCCAACCCTGTTCTATTAGAGACAGACAACTGAGGTACGTTGATGTCACACAAAAAGCTGTGGCCGCAGTATCCATGCAAACAGTATTAGAACGCCCAAATAAAGTCAGAGCCAGGGCCAAGAGCACCTTTTTAACCATTATGGATTCCAGCTGCTTCCTCCTTCCACCACACCACACCTCCTGCACCTCAATAATAAAATACAGTTACATTTCAATACAAGCAAAGCAGCAGGAGGCCAGACAGCAGAGATCACAACACTTCTCTGCCCCATGCTTTGTGGCAAGGCACCATTTTTTGGTACTTTGCCCCAGTCCAAAGAGGTACTCTATGTATATATCTCTCTCAACAGCTTGAACACAAAAGAGGACATTGAATCATGTTTATTATGACAAACAACAACTTCAGATGAGATCTGCAGCAAAAGGTCACGTAACACTCAGCCTCAGGGAGGGGTAGGGTAGGATACGGTGCAATTGCAGCTTGTAATAATTCCCTGTGCTCTGCCAGGCACCCCTGCTCCCCCCGCATCAGAAAACCCTACAACCAGCTCACGGATGGACCGGGCCAAACCCGAGTCACCACACGGCTCAGCCCCGCTGAGACACCGCTGTTCGCTACGGTTTCTCTCAAGGTAGCACATATTTTAATAGAAATCACAGTTCTACCTCATTAGCTCCGTTTGTGGCCTCTCTTAAATCCCTGACTCCAAGATGTCACCTTTTCTTGCCTTACAAGAAGAAGAGGTAAGTTAATTAGCAAGCTAAATAGGCCTGGCCTTCATTTTGTCCACACGTTGGTCTTATGTATCACAGTATGTGCTTTCTGAAAAAAAAACCAAACCACCCCAAACCCGCACTAATAAGACGCTCCTAGAAAAAGGAAATAACATCCTCACTACTATGGGGAAAAAAAAAATAATTAAAAAACTCCCTTGAGACAGCTAACGAGCCCCTGCTGCTATTCTGCTGCCCACCAGCTGTGCCCACCCCAAAGCCCAGTTTATGGAAACATTTGAGGGGTGGGGGTGTGAACAGGACATCACACCCGTGTGCTGAGCTACACAGAAGGGCAAAGAACACCTACTGTCCTCCACGAAAAGGATTCCTTTCAAAACCTGCTCTGCAGAGGCTGTCACAGCGCTGTGTCACTACTGCTCTGTCTGCTCTTCCAGGCTGGAGTTTTCCTGCCGCAGCACTTCCTGTCTGATAAAACCCAAACTCAAGGCAAGAAGGATTATAAAAAACAGTGAATATCAGCCAAACGCCATTTATGTTCACATACTATAAAAGTGTCTTTAAAAATACTGTCATCTGTCTTCAGTAAAAAATGTAAACAGGTATTTTCTCCCTTATTTCTATTAAAAAACCCCTGGAAATTACAAGTCCCCTTTCCAAGAGGAGATGGAAAAACACTTAAGCATCTCCATCCTTTAAGAATGATGCCATCAGTGTTCTGGTGTATATATTTAATATGGTTTAACTTCTAAAATGAGTCTTAAAAAAATTAAAATCAAACCTTTGAAATTGAGCTTACAATGAAAAATAAATATAGGCTCATCTCCACGTCACACAGGTTCACCTTCTCCCGCCCTGACAGTAGGGTCTGTGTTAAGCCAGGGTGAGAAATCCCACCAAGGTAAGAGGAGAGCCAGCCACCAGGAAACCATCTCCCTGATCACACAGGGACTTGTCCACAGTGGATTAGTTCCTGGCTTTGGCCACAAATACAAAAGGTGCCTGTGGGTCTAAAGAAACAGCTGCTTTGAGCCACGATCAAGGTGCTTAAAGGACTTTTTACTGGGAGATCCGTTTGCTGAGGTAAACCTTTCAGCATAGTCACCACGGCAAAATGTCCACGAACAGAAAGACCCGTGCAGGTTTTGCACAAAGTGATGTCTTATCTGCAGTGTCCTCCCTGCGAGGAGCTCAACGCCTTCAGAAACACGAGAATTCCATTTGCATCTTCAGTAGTAAATTTTGCCCAGAGAGAGTCCAGCTCCACTAACTTTGTGCTGTCACGGTACCTAGAGATCGCCTGGTCACCTCACAAGGGCTAGTCCTGGTCTCTTCTACACGATGTTCCGATACAAATACTCTGGACAGCATTTCCAGTTCTTTTAAGAAATCCTGTAATAAACAGATACAAACCAGAGAACCCTTATTAACAAATGTCAACAAAGAGGCTTACTTAATTTTTCTAGTAAAGCACTTTACAAGGTTAAACATGTTGATGGTTTTCCCAAAACAAGCTACAAAATTGACTGCAAAGGTGAACGCCTGGTGGTCTACGTGGTCAGTCTCCCTTTAATCCCCACACCCTTCCCAGAAAAGATGACTGCCACAGTTTAACCATCTCCAATATGCCAGTGCTCACGCTCACCAGCCTTGAAATACTGCCCATTTTAGCAGGGGAGTCGGGCAGTTTCCTGCATTTTGATCCTGGGTAGAACAATCCAACCCCTCTCCCGTTCTGGCGGCGGGAGGCAGAGAGGTTTACACGCAAGTCCGGGCAGTTCAGACCCTTCCCCACATGTGGTGCTCAGCTGGAGCACAGGAAACACTTTCAGGCTGGAGCTGAGAGCTGGAAACTGAGCCAGCTGCTCTCCAAACTGGTTTATGGTTTTCTTGGAAACATTTCCGCTGCACGGGAAACGCTGGGATCCACACACGTACCGATTTTCAACCACACACTGGTAACAGGAACACCTGATGGAAGCCAGTCCTTCTGCTGCACTAAGCAGGAACTATGGACAGGGAAGGTTATGGGTTCCATCTACACGAAGCTTTATGTTTATGTGGCTTTATACTTTTTATTTCACTTATTGTTCACATGCATCTCATTACTTACTGAGGGCCAAGGGAGCTCCTGGAGGCTCTTCAGGCAACTCTCTATTTCACCAGTTCTCATTAGTCCGTGTTCTACGAGGCCACGAAGCATGAAAAGGAACAAATCCCACTGCAGAAGAGAAAAAAAACCATCAACAGCTCAAAAAGAAATGGATTTTGCATTCCTTTACCCCTACACAATTCATGTTTTGCTTCTTGGATCCAAATGTGGAGAAAAGGAGCAAAAGGAGAAAGCACATGATTTATCTGGGTGGGGCAATGAGGACATCAAAGAGCAACATCCAAATTGAGTGAGGAAAATTCCTTTAGTTCATACATTGTATCCTACCATACAGTCTCAACATCTCTAATTCTCAGTTTCCAAACATGACAAGCATTTAATTCTCATGTGTTCAAGACCAGCTTGAAAAATTCTTTTCTTTACCTTCTGAAATAAGCTGGTTTTAGCCTGCAGCTACAACAGGGCAATTCTCAGCTCCACAGTTGGGGATCTTATAACAACGAAACACACGCAAAAATAAAAGCTGATAAAAGACACGTGGATGCAGCCAAGTACAAAACCACACGTGTTCAGGCCTCGATCCCCCAGGCCAAACGGGCCGTTTTGCCATTTGTTCCTAAATTAAACCGTGCCTTCCCGACAGCCCCCAGACAGGTGTCGGGCCCTGACGAGTCGGATGCAGCCCCCTTTCTCTCTGCCCCTGCAGGAAGAGGCCAGCTCACAGCAGAGCAAACCCCCCTGCCCTCGCTCACAGGAGCAGCAGGCACAGAGGGAATAGACCTGCGCAGAGTAGCAAACAGCAGCTCCACGGATGGGCATGAGCTTTACCTTGCAGGCACAGAGGGAATAGACCCGCGCAGAGTGAACAAATGGCAGCTCCACGGATGGGCATGAGCTTTACCTCTCGCTGCTTAACCTCTGCCAGATAACCCATGTTCTTCTTGCTGAAGATCAGCTGCACAGGAACAGGCGTCCCAAAGTCCTCCTTCCAGACAGAGAGCAGCAGTTTCAGAAGGCCACAGGTGGGGTTTTTCTTTACACGCAGCCTCTCGGAGCTTTTCTCTGGGGACTTGATCCTGAGATTCAGAGGAACACGATCTGAAACTGTGAGACAAGGAGCAAAGGTGAACCTCTACCGCTGCAGTATTTTCCTTTTACTTCATCATCCTGGTCCAACAGCACATTCTGCAAAGCTGGTACCTGAACAATCACTAAGTAAGAACACTTAGTGAGTATAAAGCAGTGAATCTTAGAGGCCTGGAGTTCAGAAACATGCAAAATTATGAGCTTTGAAACCACAAGAACAAGTATTTCATCAGAAGAGATTTATACTAGTCAGATAAAGAATACCTTTTGGTCGGCCTATAGCCCCAAGTCTTATTTACTCAATCATCTTTCAAACGTCAGTCTAATGTTTAATAAAAGAAGACTTAAGCATTACTCCAAAGGAAAGGAAAGTAACGCAGTAAA